GGGGGGGGGGGGGGGGGGGCGCAGGTTGAGCAACTACTACAGAAAAAAACAACAACAGTATGTATCTGCAGTACGCGGTCATGAAATCGGAGCCAGAAGACTCGATCCCAAAGCTGCTCAAATAAAGAGAGAAGAGCGAGAAGAAAACCTCTGGTGAGCGTTTCAGCTCACACCCGTTTCCCAGAAACTTAAAAACAGCACTCGCACCACCGCGGGGGGGCAATAAAAGAGCCAGGCGATAAGCGGCAGTAAGGAGGCGAGGACTCGTTCTGAGCGTTTTCCACGTTGTGTTCATTAAGTGCAGAAACTTGAATAACAGAAAACGAGGAAGGGATTGTGAGCCTTTAACTTCCTGACACCAGCCAGTAAATATTCATGAAGTCAACAAATATACAATATTACGCAAAAACACAGACAGAAACGACTTGAAGGGGACGACACGCGTGTTTCTGATGCTTTACAGCGACGTCACAGTGAGCAGAACATTGATGTTGGTGGGAAATAAAAATGAGGCCTTTTAGAAGAGCTGCTATAATAAAACCAACGCGCCCATTTGGACCAATTCTGTTAAAAAAAACCTAAACAGCACTTTGACCTTCAAACGCTGGGCAACAACAAAACAGGAACCCGGCGCATATTTCTGGGGGAGGCGCCGACGTTCTAAGAGGTCCAGAACTTGTTAAGGACCCCCACAGGACGTCTTCACGTGCCACACAGCGGAGCGGAATGTTGACGAAAGTCGAATCATCTTCTCGCCGCCGGGCGTTTGGTTCCAGGCGCGGCGGCCGTGGGTGTCGGTTCGACTTTAAATTACACCGTGGGAAACCCCGAGCAGCCGCACCGGGACGGGCGCGGTGAACAAGAAACGCATTAGTATTATTCCGAATAACCGGGTCGCCGTGGAAACGACACCGACGGAATCACACATAAATATTTATATTTGTATCTGTGGTATCTGCGTGCGCTTAACAAGCCTTTCGACACCAGCACCGCCTCGCCCACCTGGCGTACGACGCCGGCAGGTCCCACAGGTAGACACACCTGAGAGCCGGCCTGACGGGGAGGCCCGGGGGGCGGGGCCTGGGCCGGGGGCGGGGCCTGGGGGCCCAGAGTGAAACCACGGTGAATAATGGACGTGAAGGTGAGTAGAGGAGCATCAGGTAAAGGAGGCGCAGCTGTGAAATCAGCCCGAAAACACAACCAGATCTCACGCACACGCACGCACGCGCGCGCACGTTTTATGTGTGTGACGTCAGCGTGAACAACATGGAGAACAAACGAGCCTTTATGAATGTACACGCACTACTCCCAATAATACTGCATGTATCACTCACCCATTCACACCCATTCATTTCCATGGCATCCATTAAGGGACAAATTAGTAGTATACAGCATTAAAGTCACGTGAAGTAACTTTAGCAGTAGTAATACAACTTCATGTCAACATGAACTCAGTTTAGAGTACTAATGTCACGTGTGAAGTACTTTTAGGAGTATTAAAGAGGCATTTACAAACGTTACCAGCCGTAAGCTCGGTTTGCAATATTCGAAGTACTTCAGGAGTACCACACTATGTACTTAGACTGGAGTACTTTTCCACAGAGGTTAACACGAGAGAGCCCCCTGTTTGTAGTATTGGAGTCGCGCTTGCAGTACCTTAAGGAGTATTAGTACACCAGCGCCACATGTTACATAACGAGCTTCTCCAACGAGTCGCTCATCAAAGCTCCTCCGCTGAAAACACCTCGCGGCTCCACTTCCGGAACCTCCGCCCGACTCGGCCCGGCCCGGTCCGGCCCGAGCACCTGAGTCCGCTCACCTGCATCCCGGGGACCTCCATGGCGACTCCGAGGGCCGACCTTCTGCTCCTCCAGGTCGGGCTGCTCCTCTCCTACTTCTCCTCCTCCTCCTCCTTCTCCTTAGTGCGTTCCGTCTACCTCCCCTTCTAACTGAGTACAAAATAATACCCCCCCCTCCCCCCCCAAAAAAAGGTTTTACTTCGACGACGAAAGCGCACGCGGGGTATCCGAGGGGGGGTTTTAAAAAAAAAAAGGGCGGTGTTTGTTTTGCAGTAAAAGAAAAAGGAACAAAGTGCCTCCTCGACCTGTGAGAGTCTGAGAAAGAAACACACGAAGAAGTGTTGAGCAAACGATGACGAGGGCTGCCTCCTTCAGGGGAGGAGCCAGAAAGTGCGTAAATGTCAGCTCCGGACACCAGGAGGTCTACTGCCACCTTGTGCCTCAATGCTGAAAGAGATTTATACAATATAGTACAAAAGATAGTCATAATAATGCTCTCCAAATATACTTTTCTGAGTATACTTAGTTACTGTGCACTCGTTTTTATTTTTATTCTTGACATTTTATCATTATCATGATGCTGCTGCTCTTGTTTGTTTGTTTTTTGCTGTCGCGATCCTGTGAATTTCCCCATTGTGGGACTAATAAAGGAATATCATCTTTGTATTTCACCTCGTTTTCATTATATACTCTTATTAAATATGCCATTTTATATAGTGACAACAATTATACTAATAATATACATTAGACTACATTAGTATTGGATACAAATTAAAGTTAAACTACAACATTCGGGCTCTATGATTCTGACAGCGTAACACACAACACATTCGATCAGACTTTCGAATGTTATTTCTTTTTTCGGGGGGGATTTCACAGTTTTTAAAATCAATTCAACTGACTCTTTGAGAGCTAAATTTATTTCCCACGCCCCTGGAACGCGGCATCGGGTTTTCGACGTGACGTAACCCGGAAGCGGGATTGAACCGAGTGGGCGGAGCCCGGCGGAAGATGGCGTTCGTTCGCTGTCGGCGAGACCCCTGCGGCGTTATCTGTCTTGTTTTAACCTATTTCAGCGTGTTTTACGCGGACTACGTGGTCGTTCAGTATGTCCTCATCCCCGCCTACTCGGACAGGTCGGTGCTTGGTGTTCTTACGTCGCTCGAACCCTTTAAAAACGGACATGGCGGCCGCTTCTCCATTCAGCTGACAGTTGGACTGACGGCTCCTCGCGCTCCCTTTTCTCCGCTGTATTGATACGCGACGCGTGTTTTTATGACGTCAGCACGTATTTACGTGTGTTCGTGCGGTTGTTTGTAACGATGCTTTAGTGAAGGGAAACGCGTGTATTATTATATAGTAAATTTGGTGCCTTCGTATTTCACTGTATTCGTTTTCATATACATCAGTACATATTTTAGGTAAATAATTTACAATTTACAAAATAAATAATATATGTTAGAAATATACCAAAATGAGAAAACTACACAAAAAAGTAAATATTTGAAAAACAGGTTAGTTTTGATGAATACCAATAAAAAAAGGTAGATTTGTCTCTTTGTTTGTAGTTTAAAGACTGACACACACGGATCAATGAACTAATAACAAATAACTGTTGGGAGTAAACAAGCTGATCCGTGCAGTAAGTTGTGCATCATGTGACCCTCTGACAGCGTGTGGTGCTCTCTGCACGGATCCGTGTTCAACCTGATCCTGCTGCTGCTGCTGGCCTGCCACGCCAAAGCCGTCTGCTCAGACCCCGGTCAGTGAGCGCGCACGCGTGTGTGTCTTCCATGTATCTGCAGCACGTGTATGTCGAATTGACTGTAGATGTTTTGCTGGATTTGTTTTGTGTTTTTTGGTCAAGTTGCATTCAGGTGCAGACGGGCTTTACTGTGTCTCTCTGTATGTAATGCGTGTGTTGTGGTCCAGGCATGGTTCCTCTCCCTGAGACGGCCATGGACTTCTCGGACCTCCGCTCCCAGTCCACGCGCATGAACGAGCGGGTGAGTCTCAAACCACAAGCGCCTCGATTTTCACTCCCAAATAAAAGAACCCCGCTGACTATGAGTCCAGACATCTCAAGCGTGACGTTTGTGAAGAATTCGAGGGTTATAACGACACGAATCATGGAAAATGTGATCATTTGTCTATAAAGTTTTTTTTTTTTAATGAATCTGTTCAAAGTAAACAGTTTATTTGGGGCGATATTTTAAATGAGACGAGTAGAATGAAACTTTAAAAAGAAATAGTTTCAGTTACTTTACTGAAAGGGACCATTTGCTTCAGTTTGTACTTACCAAGTGAACAGTTGAAGGCCAGAAATATAAAAAACATTCCCTCACGCTGTATTTACACCGGCACTGAATGTGTATTTGTGTCCCGGCGGCTGTGCTCATGTCTGCTATTAAGTCCTTGTGCGTTGACCATGTTGGTGGATTTGTGTGACTTTCATTGGACTAACAGGAAGCACATGGCGTCAAACCCACTCGTAGTCTCTCTTCCTGCATTTAGATCACAGCGTCCGTCTCTCCGTCCGCCACACAAACTCATTAGTAACAATCACCTGTTGCTTATTTGTTCAACTCATCGAGGAGAAGTGGTGAGGAAAGGACACTAGGAGGCCATTGGAGGACTTGTTATTTCCTCCACCAGAGGACCAGAATGTTGATCGGATGGAGCCGTGCGGTTGCGTTGTGCGGTTGTGCGTTTGCGTTGTCTCTAAGGCGGCGGGTGTCTTCCAGGGCTGCGAAGGCTGGACGGTGTGCAGCCGCTGTGAGACCTACCGGCCCCCCAGAGCGCACCACTGCCGCGTCTGTCAGAGGTGTGTACGCCGCATGGACCACCACTGCCCCTGGTGAGGAAACGCACATCCACCCCCCCCCCCAAAACCCCCCCCGGTCTCTTTTCCCTCATGTCTTTGTTTGTGTTTAGGATCAATAACTGTGTCGGGGAGCTCAACCAGAAGTATTTCATCCAGTTTCTGTTCTACACCGGTGAGTATTTAATGTGCATGTATGTGCATATATGTATATGTACATGTATATACTAAATATATATACGCCACTATAAGCCCCCTTGCAGTAGCTTGAAGTAAAACATCTGGATCTCCTCCCCTGGCTGCAGGCGTGGCCAGCCTGTACTCCCTGGTGCTGGTGGTCTCCTCCTGGGTGTGGCGGATAAGGAACGAGAGGGGCGGCGACGCCGGGAGGGAGGCGGAGGAGGAGGAGTCGCCCAGCAAGCACCTGATCGTGTGAGTCACGATTGACGTGACAAATGATGGTCTTTAAAAAGTATCCGACACAGACGGTCCCGCTGGTTTTGTGGATTCTGATTGGTCGGCTCGTTGTGTCCGGCGCTTCTCCTCCCGCAGCGGCCACTACATCATCCTCCTGGTGGAGTCGGTGCTGTTCGGCGTGTTCGTCGTGGTCATCTTCTACGATCAGGTACTTTAACTTTGCTCTTGCTCTTTTAGAAAGGCACTCCTTCGGTTACCTTTCACAATAAAAGCCCCAGATGTACGAGTATTTTACGTGATTCAGTTTATTTGCCTCCAGATGTTTTGATTAATGACTTTGATCACAAAAATCAACAAAGTCTATTGAGCAACACCTGCACAAATAATCGGATAAGTGGTGAGGTTTGTCCAAAGGCCTTCTGGGAGATGTAGGAACTCCAGCGGAGCCGTTTAGCTCTGGTCGTGTTCTGGATCGTAACTCCACCTTCTTCCCTCCAGCTGGTCTCCATCGTCACGGACGAGACCCCCATCGAGCAGATGAAGAACCGACTGATGAAGAAGGACAGAGGCTCTTCATCCTCGTCACCATCCTCCCCTCAGATGCCGCACCCCCCCACTCACACCCGCAAGCCCAAGCTCGCCCTGCTCAGGGAGGTTTTTGGAAGAGGTGGGGCCTTTTCTATTTATCTCATGGCTGTGTTCATCGGGGGGGGGGGGGGGGGTCTCATAATCATCCCGTTTCCCAGACACGGCCTTGTCAAAGAGCTGTGACACGTCACGGACGCGTGACAGGCCTCCGTCAGCCGACCACCTCTTAACACCGAGGTCGTCTCCATGCGCTTGGTCCTCTCCAGGTTCCGTCTTCTTCTGGCTTCTTCCCCTCCACTCCAGCCCCCCCGCGGCGCGGCGGACATCACATACTTCGCCCCTCCCAGAATAAGGAGGTTTGCACTATTACCCGGTGAGGACACCCAGCGGCGAGAAAAAAGCCTACTATTTTCTTCCCCTTTATAGAGGGGGGGGGGGGGGCGAGGCTGAGACCTGTGTGTGTGTGTGTGTGTGTGTGTGTGTGTGTGTGTGTGTGTGTGTGTGTGTGTGTGTGTGTGTGTGTGTGTGTGTGTGTGTGTGTGTGTCTGATCCCAGACTCGGCCTCTTGAACAAGCAGGATGTTGAAGTACTTCAACTAGTTTCATCAAACTGATCCCAGTTGGTGTTTTGCTTGTTGGACATTGGAGGACCACTAATTAACGCCCCCCCAAATTGGGTTATAGATCAAACTTTTGTAACGAAGGGTTCCGTGTGGAACCATTGCACGCTAGACGGGTTCCCCATAGAAGAGTTCTTTTGGGGGGAACCGTGACAGATTTTAGGAGAAAACTGAGCATTTCCGGTGGAACCTTTTAATAAGATGTTCTACCAGAAAAGGGCTTTTTTAAAGGGACAGGATGCAGAACCCTGTGAGGTTCTAGTTGGCATGTTAAAGGAACTCTAACATTTTTAGAAGATATTTATTTGATTAACAAACACCAGAAGAAGTAGAAACACTGATCTTTGGGGTTATTGAACAAAAGGAATTTATTTCTGTGTTTTTCGTGTCATTCTTGTTTATTCTGAAGTACAACTACGTTTGATGTGGTAACTAAACTGTGTTACACTTAAAGATCAGGGCTCATTTTTAAACTCCATTTATCCGTTCTAGTTATTCCGTAGAGAAATCTCTACCAATACGTGTAACGAGGGTCTGCACTGACTGAGGTTCTAGGCTGATTTGTAGAACTTTTACATTGAAACGTGGCAGAAGAACCCTGCAGGGGCAAAGAGAGGAACACATTGGAGAGGTTCCAGCAAAGAGAGGAACACATTGGAGAGGTTCCCGCAAAGAGAGGAACACATTGGAGAGGTTCCCGCAAAGAGAGGAACACATTGGAGAGGTTCCCGCAAAGAGAGGAACACATTGGAGAGGTTCCAGCAAAGAGAGGAACACATTGGAGAGGTTCCCGCAAAGAGAGGAACACATTGGAGAGGTTCCCGCAAAGAGAGGAACACATTGGAGAGGTTCCCGCAAAGAGAGGAACACATTGGAGAGGTTCCCGCAAAGAGAGGAACACATTGGAGAGGTTCCCGCAAAGAGAGGAACACATTGGAGAGGTTCCAGCAGTGGTTGTGATGCTGCAGGAACATCTGCTGGTTACTGTGAGGCGATTCTGTTCATCCAGAATATTTCAACATTTTGCTTTCAAGCTGTTTGACGCCTTTCGCACTGAAGCAGAAGTTCCACGTTGTTGGAAACGCGCTGGTGTGTCTTCTCGCCGAGGGGGGGGGTCTCATGTAACTACTGGCAACCGCTCTGCAAACGCTTCTCCTCAGCAGGTTGGAACATTTGCACAAATACTGGTGAAGGGAAAGTTACAGCGTGCGTCCTGGATGAAATGAGACTTGAATTTAACGTGCGGTCAGAATGAAGCCAGAATGAAGCGGGGGGGGGTAGTAAAGTATGAACTAGTTACGGCACTGTAAATATTTTGTGTCCAGGTTGCGTCGCTTGTTTGAAATGCAGTTGATCTGTTATTTCGTTTCAGTTTCTTGCATTGTGGCTCAACAGGGTGCGCTTGTTTCTGTTCGCACCCCGCTGTGGTGTTTAACCCGACAGAGGGAAGGAATGTGTACAAACATCTAACATCCACGTTTGCTGACTAATTATTACGACGTTCATCTCCAGTGTGGTTTAAGTGTTTTTACCATGAAGGTCAATAAAGAGTCTTTATGTTGCCCTTCAAAACAAAACCAACAACGTTTAATGTCATGATGAACAAGTTTACAACTAACGGATGTTTTATTATTGTGATATGTTGAAAGTGTGACCTGTGTATTGTTCCTGATGACCTGCTGCTCTGACTCCTTCAACTGGAAGTAAAACAGACGTCTTTTAAACTTCAACGGCTCTTTTTTCCTGTTTGTGTTTGTTCAATGGATTCCTCATTCTCAATATGGATTCTGATATCTGGGTTAATCCGCACCTTATAAAGTCATTTTATTTATTTACTGTGAAAGCACAGCGACCTGTCGCGGCTCCGCTTCCACAGGCTCCTTTTAGAGGGTCGGGGTAGTTCATTCAGTATGTGGGGTGACCAGCAGGGGGCAGCACCACATCAGAGTCACCAGTATATGAGGTGACCAGCAGGGGGCAGTCACCAGTATGTGAGGTGACCAGCAGGGGGCAGCACCACATCAGAGTCACCAGTATATGAGGTGACCAGCAGGGGGCAGCACCACATCAGAGTCACCAGTATGTGAGGTGACCAGCAGGAGGCAGCACCACATCAGAGTCACTAGTATGTGAGGTGACCAGCAGGGGGCAGCACCACATCAGAGTCACCAGTATGTGAGGTGACCAGCAGGGGGCAGCACCACATCAGAGTCACCAGTATGTGAGGTGACCAGCAGGAGGCAGCACCACATCAGAGTCACCAGTATGTGAGGTGACCAGCAGGGGGCAGCACCACATCAGAGTCACTAGTATGTGAGGTGACCAGCAGGGGGCAGCACCACATCAGAGTCACCCGTATATGAGGTGACCAGCAGAGGGCAGCACCACACCACGGAGTCAGACCCAATCAGAGAAACACCGCTTTCATCATCAGAGTTCCGCACATGATAAAATAATGCACTCATATATTGTGTGCTTTAGAAAAAGGTGACATGAAAATGGCTCATCTTAATTTTTTCCAATAACATATATAGTAAAAATAACTATATACTTTACAAACATTAATCATGGATTATTAGGTTGTTCCTTCAAATAGTTAAAAGACCTTTTCAGATTATAGTGGTTATTAATAATTATAATCTTTTTAATATTTTATCTATTCTGCATATTGTAAATACTGGCAAAAAAGCATTGGTAAAATAACACAGACAGCTTGAAGTTGAAGCCACAGGTCGTCCCGAGCAGACGGAGAGAAGAGAAGCAGCTCTGGAGCCGTTTAATAAAGGCCTCCAGAGCTGTTTAGAGCTAAGTGGGCTGCTGGTTCCTGGAAAGACGCGCTGATCTTTTGTCCCCCCCCCCCATGGTGGTGTTAAGCCCCCCCTGTTCCTGGATAGTGGAGCTCGGCTGCTTCCTAAATAGGAAAACCTTTGAGGATCAGAAGGAGGCGTCGGCCATTCTCTCCGAGACAGATGCCGTTTGCCGAGTGTCGACGAGGTCGGACCTCCCGCCGGGAGACGTGGAAGACGAGAAGTCCATCAGTAACAAAACCCGGGGCGGTCACATGCCGGTGTTGAAATGCCCCCCCCCCCTCCCCGGTCAGCAGCAGGTTCTCCCCTGATGACTGATGGCGTGAGCCGGTCCGGTGGTTGCAACAAGCAGAGGGGTCAACGTCTTCTATGGGATGTATGGGTTTCGGCAGGTGCCCCTTTCCGCTGGACCCGACTCAAAAAATCACTCTAATAACAACTCGGTGTCTGAGACGCAGCAGAGCCGTCACGCTAAAGGCGGCGCTGCAGGTCCTCGTCGGCGGCGGCGGTGAGGAGGAGTGTAGTGTGTTGCACACCTTGTTCAAGACACCTGCGTGGAAAACAGCCCCCCCCCCCATCGCCCCTCCCCCTGGCCCAAACCGGACTTTGATGTTGTTTTGACGGGTGGACTTTGGGACGCGACCTGGGGGAGAAACCTCCTCACCTGCTGAGGTGGCCTCGTGGAACCAGCAAAGGGAGCGCTTGTTTTGTTGTCTCCGAGGCCGCAGGTTCCCTTTGCTGCTTTAATCGGTCGTGATTTAATGACTTAAGAGCTTTTATAAACAGAGTTTAATTTAGCAAAAGGAGATGTGATTTACTCAAAGTGAGAAGTCCTCTCAAACGGTCAGACGATGGAGATTTAAAAAGGTTTCTAAATGACCCGAAGTATCAAAAAGCATCTAAAAAAAAAAAGACATTTCCTGCTGAGATGCAGTACAATGAAAAGTACAACAGGTCCCCCGGCTGTGCAGGAGTATAAAGTACTCGTACATCGTGTACTGTTGACAGTAAACACACACAGAGGCTGCAGCGGTTACATGAACACATTTTTATTGCAATAGCGCTATCGAAAGCAAAAAGTCTTGATAAATATAAACACTATGCTGATGCTCAAAACACCTCCGCGTGCCCCCCCAGACAGGATGGGGACGGGGGGGCGCCGGGGGGGGAGAAGAAGAAAGCAAGGTAAAAGTATTTACAGAAGGAGACGCTCACTTTGATCATCATCATGGGGGGGGGGGGGGGGGGGGCATCGTCTTCAACCGTTAACTTGTTACTACACAGCAGCAAATAAACTGTAATATAGTTACAAAAAAATAAACGTCGGGCAGAGGTCGTGACCCATTTCTTTATACAAATAACTGCAAAATGCCTTTGTACTCTTAAAAAAAACACCCAAAAAATCCTAGTAATGCTTCATTTTTACATTTAAAAAAGGGATGCTCCCCCCCCCCCCTCATCTGTAAACTAGAATACAAAACAAAGCAACGGATTAGAGGAAGACGGACACCACCGTTCCCTCAGGTGATTCTTCATATATTACGAATGAGTTTTTACGCTTGAATTGTTGCCAAAACAAACAAACAAACAAACAAACAGATTCTTTGTACCTTAATCCAGTTGCGTCAGGAGGGCGACATTTTGCCTTTTCATCTCCGAGTAATGATTCAGATAAATGAAGGCGGATTCTTTCCCAGAATCCCCCAAAGTATCGAGATCCACCTGTTTTTGCCGTACGGGTAAAAAATAAAAATAAAAAAATAAAAATAAAACTAAAAGTAAAAGCAACAAGTCGCTTTAGTTTAAGCTTTTTAAACGGCAGTTTAATTATTATTGTATTTGTTGGAAACGGTGAGAAAATAACTCAAATTGTTTCCAATGTTCATACGAGATGCGTCGCAGGCCTCGATATAAATAATAATAATATTAATAAAAATAACGCCACCTAAACAAAAATATACGTCCTTATCCATCCCCTCCTCTTTGGGAGCTCCGTGCTGCAGCGTTTGGTTTGGATTCTTAACATCGATGACGTGGATGAGACGCAGGAAACGGCAACAAACATCTCCAGTTTGTCTGAATCTGTTATTTTGCATCTTTTCCGGTGAAACGTTTGAGGACTGAAGCACAAAGACGCTGCAGGACGCCGAGGTGCACGCGCTACTGGTCAAAGACAACACGCGTCCTTCAGTGAGACCAAGACGCCGCGTTCGCCCAGAGAATTCGTTTTAAATCTCTAAGTGTTAGAACGGCGAAGACACCAAAACGTGGCGCTCTCCTTCGGGACGTCGTCGAGTTCAGCACTTTGTCTTCGACATATTTTAAATAAGGAAAGCTGGACGCCCGTTTTTGCAGGTTATGAATCTTTTATTCAACAAAGAAAAAAAGAATTATGGAAAAGTCGTATTCAAGTCGTCAAACTTTCATAACAGGCTGCTGCACGTGCACCGCGCGCCGCCCCCGGCCCCGCCCACAGGAAGTCAACCCGGCCAATCAGAGGAGGCCTCGCTGCTCCTTTAAAGAATCCTTTCAGATCCTCGGCGGCCGAAAGAAGGACGACGACCTCGATGCGTCACACAGACGAAAAGGGCAACACAAATAAAAACAACCTAAAAAAAACACTTGAAAACGGAACGAATAAAAAAATGCGTAGAAAGATTGAACTTCTGTTATTGAGCACGAGTCGAGTAGAAACGTTAAATGAAGGCGTACGAGTGTGTTGAAGTGTGTGTGTGTGTGTGCGATCGCAGTAGGACGAGTATTACCAGCACGCTGCAGCTCGTTACTGGAAACCTCTTTACGTCACTCGGTGACGTAGGCCAAAGCGCGCGTGTGTGTGTGTGTGTGTGTGTGTGTCTGTGTGCGTCACCAACAGCCGCTGACAAAGAGCCCAAATGGGAGCACAGCGCAGCTACCAGGCCTAAATAGGGCCGCATGACTTGCTGCATGTGTTGTGAGAGCGTGCACGTGCGTACGTGTGCACACTTCACTTGCAGAGATCTATTGTGTGTGTCTTTGTGTGCGCGTCAGTCTTAGTGTTTGCATCCCAGTGCCGAGGTCTGTACTTTGTGCTTTTTTAGCTTTCACAGCATTGTATGTTTGTGTGTGTGTGTGTGTGATGCAGATGTGTGTGTGTGTGCGCGCGTGTGTGTGCGGCTCCCTCGCTCACCTGAAATGTGCGACGGACCTTGTGAGGTAAAACTGAAAGGAGCCGATGGAGCGTCCGATCCCTGCAGGCCACTTAGTTTACTGGTTCCTTCATCTTAAAGGGATAGTTCTGCTGGACGAGAAGGTCCACGCTGCTAGCCAGCAGGGCTAGTTAGCTTAGCATTGGGGTGGCTAGCAAAGCTCGGTAACTTTCACGTTTTTGCCAAATGTTTAAAATAGAAAAAAAAGAGGTTGAACTGTCCCTTTAAAACACGGAGCGGCCTGCAGGAGTCGACCAAAGAAATGTATCCGAGTATTTTGTACCTATTGCAACAAATAAATAATCAACGTTGTACCGAGGGAGTAATCCATTAAAAAAATTAAAATAATACATTCTGTACTTCAGCTGTTTGGTACCGCGGAGGAAGGATTGAAAATGTTTTAAAGCGACGTGAAGTTTGTACCATAATGCCTTTTAGTATCCAGCCTCCCTTTTTAATACCGTGTGGAGAAGCAGCAACCCCCCCACCAAAAAAAGATACCGTCCTCTGCCAGCATCCATTGTGATAAAAATGAAACCGACCACATATATGCATATAAAAAAATGAAAAGATGACGTACACGTCCATAAGTCATCTGCTGATTTCTGCATCCAGAGAGGAGCCGCTGCTCAGTCTGAAGAGGTCAGAGGTCAACGGCCGCTGAGGAGGAGGAGGGGCCTGAAGGTCTCAGGCAGAGTCAAGGCGGAGAGATGATGAAGAGGGGGAGGAGGAGGAGGACGGGGGGCTCCAGCATGCCGTCAGTCTGAGGGAGAAAAGAGAGAAAGGGTTCATCTTCAAACGAATGCTTAAATACCACATTTATAAACGTTGGTGCTCAATGGAAGGGGGGGGGGGGTCGTGGTGGGGGCGGGAGGCCCTGAATGACCCCCGCCGATGGCCGGCGTCCAGCTGAGAGCGGGGGGCTTTTGTGTGACGCTACAATGTGAGCAGCACGCTACAATACAGGCGCTTTGACTGGAATGCTGCTCTGTTTGGGGGGGGGGGGGGGGGGCACGATGCACAGACTCAGCACAGCCCAAAACACCAACAAACGGGGGGGGGGGGGGGGGGGGGTTAGGCAACCTGGCAACCCCGAAAGAAGATGTGACAGCAAGAGGAAGAGTAACACTTTCTGTTCTCCGCCAAAATAAAACCGAACTGGTTTTTGGGGACAGTGATTGTTTACACGAAGACAGGGGGACAGACACAGACAGAGGGACCAGTTTGAGGTCTCTCGGGTGTCTTTGCATCCAGTTGTGGACAAAACACCGACCTGAACTAACACACACACCAGCACTGACCAATAACAACAACAATAATAACAATAATGTTATTTCAATTCAATCGGGGGGGGGTAGGGGGCTTAAATGTGTCATCTAGTCCGATAAAAGCGCTCACTTCCACGTGAGACGAACAAACGCAGAAAAACGTCCACAACTCCGGGACGAGTAAATCTACTCGAAAACAGCAGAAAACGCGTCACATGATGGTTAATAATTCCACCATCTGTGGGGAAATATGTGGTCATGAGGGGGGGGGGGGGGGGGGCACCACACACTGGGTCCTGTTACGAGCCTCCAACCGGCCCCATAAATCCACGGCGGGTCTGGAAATAGAGACGTAAATATAGACAGAGGCCTGGGGGGGGGTGGGGGCTCCTCTCACACCTCAGTGGTTTCTCCCACTAACCCCGACCACCTCACAGACACTTCTAAGGGGGGGGGCACCTCTGTGAGGAGGACGAGCCCGTACGCCTCCACAGAGTGCGAATGCTTTATTAAACATGAATAAAAGACATCGTCCCACCTGCAGCATTGAAGGGATTTGAAGAGTAACGGCGGTATTAAGGAGCCACATTGGTTGATTACTTGAATCTAAACTGAACGTCTTTTTTTTGGATCGTAATTTCAATAAAACAAGGAATTGGAAGCCGCCTGTTTCAGATAAAGCATAAAGGTCCATCGTCTCTATGGAAACCACACATTCATGAGCAGAATAGGAACTTAAATAATGGGGCAGAATAACAGCAATGAAAACATCCCTGGACCAAGAATCCAGGTGTGTGCATCTGCTTTAGCTGAGAGGAAGCGATGTTTTGGGTGTAGTAGATGTTTGCACCACCCCCCCCGCTGTGTGCTTTTCTCTCTCACACACACGTTTCACAAGCTGCTGTGTGAAAATAATAAACATCCAAATACGATTCCTAGAAGTTTAAAAAAACTAACAATGGGTGTTGGAGGAACTCACCCTTGGTTGTCGTGGTGATCCGGTCAGGTATTGTGAAGTCTATACTGGCGTAGGTGCCGTTCTCCGGCAGAGGCGCCGTCGAGCCCGCGTTGGCGGCGGCGCCCGCCCCGCTGCCCCCGTCGTCCCTCAGCTCCAGGGCGATGTAGTTCAGCCCGTTCTGGTAGCACACCGATATGTTCCAGCACATCCTGCTGGCCCCCGAGGAGGATGAGGAGGAGGAGGAAGAAGGGGTCACGGCGGCCGAGCCCATTTCCCTGGCTCTGACCGGAGCGTGGGGGGGCGGCAAGTCCCCCAGACCCTCCATGGACATCCACGTGCTGTCAAAGGACGCCGAGCTGGCCCACCTGGAAGCAGGACCTTCCGATAGGTGCGGACCGCTGGCGGCCGCGGGGTCGGCTTGCGTCAGGTGGGCAGACGAGGGGGCGGTGGGGGGTCCTCCTCCTGAGGGGGTCGAAGTGGTGGAGGACGTGGAGGAAAACGTCTCCGAGCTGTGCCTCCTCCGGCCTTGGGGGTCGGCGCGGACCACCTTGGGCTCCGGTTGTTGCGTCGGCGGGGGAGAAGCGGGGGCGGGGGAGGCCGGGGGAACGTGGCCGTAACGACCCTCCATCACGCAGAGGTGCTGCAGCACGGCCGTGGGGCTCGTCTGCGTCCGCTCCCCCCTGCTGGGGTTGAACGTCATGTCCGTGTAGTCGTCCCCCATCGACCTCCAGTGACCTCCGGCGGAGACTCCGGGGGAGGCCAGCGCCCCGGGGTTGCTGGCCAGGGGTCGGATGTAGCTCGGCGGATTCCAGGGGGCAACGAGGCTGGGTCTAGGGGACTGGTTTTTGCCCAGACACCCGGCGCCGTCTCGCTGGTCCGCCGCCACGTCCACGCTCATGTAGTCCTGGTGGGGGGAGTGACGGCGGTCCAAGGAAGGCGCGTCGTCTTGGCCCGAGAGGGGATAAGCGGGGGGCTGCTGTTGGTGGGGGTAGTGGTCCCCGAACTCGATGTTGATGTACTCCCCGGGACTGGAGGGCCCCTCAGACGAGCCGACGGCTGCGGGGACGGTGGCGGGGACCGACGCGTCACCGACCCGCTGCGGGCCGTGGAAACTCCTCCTGCCCAGAGGGAGGCGGTTGGGCCTCGCGGCGCGCTGGTCGGCCACTGCAGCGGTTGTGTGGTGAGCCCCGTACGGCGGCGGCGGGTGAGAGGGAGCTGAAGCGTTACTACCACTACCGCCCCCGCCCTTCTTCTCTGGTGTCAACACGGACGCCATTGCCACAGACGAATAGACCGGCTTGGCGGGAGAGCTCATGGGAACGTAGTCGGCGTACTCCCTCTCATCGCCGTCTCTGGTGGGGGCTTTGTAGGAGCGAGGGAGGGAGAAGTAAGGGCTGTAAGACTTAGGGGGACCCTCCGGCGTGCCGGGCGTGAGATACCCGCTGCTCCCTTCGTTGGAGGGCTTGCGCCCGCCGCTGCACGACATGTCCATGTATTCCCCGTTCTCGGGCCTCTCCGCTATGCTGTCGGTTGCGCCGGAGCTGCCGTGTGGGCTCGGGGAGGGGGAGCTGCTGCCGCCGCGTCCCGGGAGCATCATCATGTAGCCGTGGGAGTCGGTGGAGGACTGGGACTGCAGCTGTTGGTGGTGGGCCGAACGGGGGCCGAGGGCCGGACTGTGAAGCTGGGGGGAATGGGAGACGGGGTGGGCGTAGGAGCCGGGTTGCATAGGCATGTAGTCGGGGGGCGTGTCCCGAGGCGACGCCGCGGCCACGCCACATAACATGGGCATGTAGCCGCTGTCTTCCTTGGCGGAGGAGGAGAGGAGGGGGCGCTCGCCACCGGCCTCCGTCCGGGGCAGCGTGGAGGGGCGGCTCTGCTGGCTGTGCTCCGAGCAGGAGCTGTAGTCGGAGCGGAGCGACGAAGAGGAGGAGGACGGACCGCCGCGGAGCAGCCCGCTGCCAAACGGCAGCGCCGCGTCTGACCCCTCCTCCAGCGACAAATTTGTCTGGGTCATTTTCTGGTAGACCGCCACTCCCGAGCCGCCGGTCACGCCGCCGACCGTTCTGGAGAAGGAGTGCGCCCGTCTCCTCAGGGACGAGGAGGAGGGAGGATAGCGCTCGTCCTCCGTTGTGGACGTGCTCTCGTCCCGCGGCGTGTCGCCGCCGCTCGCGCCGAAGACCTCCCGGTTCCAGCCCATGGCCATGTAGTCGTTCAGGCAGTTCTCCTCCCTGATGGGCGGCGTGTTGCCGAGGGAGTCCGGCGTGTTGCTCCGCACCCGGAAGTAGCGGAAGTCGCCCGGGCTGGAACCATACTCGTCTGAGGAGTTGAAGCCGCCGTCGGACGGGGAGCCACATATCGAGGCGCTGGACGGGCGGGTCAGCGTGTCCGAGACAGAGCCGTGGCCGCTGCTGGAGGACACGCTCACCGGGCTGGTGGTGGAGGGGAAGTGGGACACCGGCAGCGAGGCGGAGCGGGCGTGGCAGGTGGACGCCACCCCGGCGATGGCTCGGACGTAGCGGCTGCCGCCCGTGCTGGTGCCAGCGTTTCCCGTGGCGACTGCGCCCCCGCCGCCTTCCTGGCGCCCGTGGTGGGCCCGCGTCGTATTGAGGTGCACCAGGCTTCCTGTGATGGACCGGAACCGGTTCATGGTCCCCTCCCCCTCGCTGGACGTCCGAAAGCGATACCCGCTGGCTCCGGAGCTCTTGCTCGACGGCGGCGTGCCGACGACAGACTCTGTCCGGGACCGCCGCTGCAGCCCCGTCTGGCTCGGCGGCAGGTTGCCCAGGTGGCGCCGCGTGGTGATGAACGGCATCGGGTTGGAACCCGACGACTGGCTCTTGCTCCTGGGGCGAAACTCGGCGAAAGCCTTCAGGGCCTTCATCGTCTCCAAGATGGTCTCGTGCATGCTCTGGGCCACCACGGAATCGTCCACCTGCATCCATATCTCGCCGGGCCCGATGGAGGAGGAGCGCCCCACCTCGATGAAGAAGAAGCTCTCCGAGTGTCCGCAGCGCCGGATGTTCATCAGCTGGAGGTTGACACAGGGCGTCTCGGAGTTCAACTTCACGAGGTGAACGGTTTTAGTCGAGAGGCAGAGCCGGTGAACACCCGTGAGGTTTTTGGTCTGACCCAGCCCTTTGGGTTTCACGTTCACCTGCCACACCTCTTTAAACACCGTGCCGGGTGTGACCGTACCATACCCGTCATCTAGATCATCAGAGTCCACGTGCCCCTTCTTGCCCTCGCTCATCAGCTCGCTGACCGCCACGTACCAGTCCTCCTGCTCCTGCTCGTTCTCCGCCACGATGGCAAAGTACTCGTCCTTGGTGTACAGGGCGATGAGGTGCTTGTTTTTGGAATCCGCCCTCTTGTTCACCGTGAAGCACTGGTAGAGGTAAATGACCCTCCTGGGGGGGGAGGCGCCGCCGCCGCCGCTCGAGGCCGTCGCGGCGGCGGCGGCGGCGGAGCGCAGGGTGCTGCGGAACTTCTTCTCGCTGTCGTAGTACTCCAGGCGGCTCGGCCCCAGGCGGCTGGCGGCGCGCAGCACGAAGAACCGCTTGTGTCCGTGCTTCTGCTTCCGCAGGTAGCCGCACTTGCGAACGTCGTCCACGGCGTCCGAGGTGCTGGCGACGCTCGCCGCCGCGTATACATGGCCGCCGCCGCCGCTGCTACTGCCGCTGCTGCTAGCCGCTAGCTCCTCGGCGGTTGGTACCTGGCTGAGCGACGAGGGGGAGGCTCTCCTTCCCGGGCACTCGGCGCTGTTGTCCCCGGAAAGATGCTGCTGCTGCTGCAGCGGAGCCAGCTGGTGGTGGTGCGGTTGATCCTTTGGCGGCTGGTGGTGGTGGCCGACGGGGTGATGGTGGAGCGGGTTGGACGGCGGTAAATGCTGATGGAAGCGCAAGCCGCCGCCGCCGCCGCCGCCTCCGAGGTTAATTAAAGGGGAAGGGGGTTCCCCGTCTCCGTTGGCGGCCGCCGACTTCGTCCCCACGTCCCGCTGCTGCGTCTCCACCAGCATCGCCGCTTTGCCCTCCTGGTAGTTTGTAAAATTAGCCATCGGAGAACGCAATCAAAGGTCACTCCAGCGGCGAGCTAATCCGAGTGGACCTAGACCCCATTCTGGTTTTTTCTCTTCTTGTTTTTTTTTTTTTTTGGAGGCGAGCTCCCGAGTGCGGCTAGGCCAGCTAACGTTCACTCGGCGCGGGCTCCGATTCCTCCCGAAACCGGCTCTTGTTGTTCGGTCTAACAAATACAAAAAGGCACAGTCCACGTTGTCCTTTTTTTTATTCCGGAAGCGAGGTTATCCAAGCCGGACCTTTATCGCGACATATATCCCACCGTGTGCAACATGACCACGCTCAGCCGCGGGTCCTATAATCGGGAGGATCTAGCTAGCATGGTTAGCATTCCGTTCCCTTCTCCCCCTGTTCACATCTCTATGGGGCCACAGCACAAACAACACGTGACCCGCTGCGTCACGCACCGAGAGGGCGGGAACAAAGAGGCCAGCGCGCGTTGCGATTGGGTTCTCGGCTTGAGTGGCGTACTGCGACGGGTCATGTCAGCCAATTGCTGCGGGACACTAGTGCCCGCGCGTCAATTGACGTGAGCAGTTCCCGATGACGCGCAGCAGATGAGAAACGAGGCGGTGACGCTGTGGGGCTGATCTGGAGTCTTTTGTTAGCCTCTCTGGTGACTGTTTAGACGTAAATGGCTGATCCCAGAGCGGGATGCGGGCCAACAGGAGTCTCCCCTCGTGTCTGGGAGCAGAAAAAAGGTGTGTGTGTATATATATATATATATATATAGGTAAAAAGGTATATATATACCTTTTTCTGCTATATATATATACTATAAAAATAAAGATATCCAGTAAGGAATTGATACATAAATCCATAGCCTGGTAAAATATATAATATATATAAATATAAACTTAGTTTTAATTACAATTACAGTCTACCACTTACTTCAGTGTCTTTTATTCCCCAAAGGTGAGCTCTCACTTGTAGCTTCAATTCATCGTGCTTTTGGCGATCTCATCAATGTTGTGGCAAAAATGAATGAAAATTCAAATACAGTCAATGTGCTGGCTCTTCACCTCTTTAGACAATAAATCGTGTCGTTTTATTGCACTATAACCCCCCTTTTCCCCTGTATATGAACACCAAAAACAATCACGGGAAGCATTGACCTTAGATCAACTAATGCTTTTTATGTGGAAATGATTTTCAGTGGTATGATCCTGGAATTGATTCAATTGTTTTTGTCAATCAGCTGATCAGATCAGGTGACGGGATTAGTGGCCTACAGAAAGTTTGGGTGAAGTGGTTTTCTTTTTGTGTAGCTGTAGCTGTTCTTCATTCAATGTTTATTTACATATTTATTGTATTTAATATATTTTAGAGTCGGTGCTCCCTAAGACACATGGAAATGCTGGGTGAAGAAGATGGCACGTAATGTTGTTTTATAAATATAACCGTTAGATTGCTGCTTCAGCTCCTGTGAGATGAAGCCCACTAAAAATGGCAGAATATCACCAATAAACATTAATTCACGTGATTTCGTTTCGTAAAGCCTCTGTTTCGCAGCTGTGTTTATTTGGATGACTCTTGATGACCTTTTTCACGGACCCTCTTCTCTGTTGCTCCCCTCCGGACCGGATATGGGCGGGGCACAGCGCCCTCTGCTGGTGGGGGCGGGGCCTCGCAACGACCCGCGCTATTGTGGCCGCAACAAAGGAGCACAGCAACTGAACTGAAACACGCAATCGCACGCATAGGAAGCACAAAGGAAAGCTCGCTTCCTTTTGTCACTGCTGCAAGTTCACAACGACATTTAAACCGACTCACACTTATTTGTGACTGTGCACGTGCTCAAGAGTAGTGTTTGCAGAGAGTATAAGTACAGGCCGTGTATGTTTCACGTCTCCTGAAGTGTGAAGGTGGTGGGAAACTGAAACCACTTAAGTCCTAAAAAAAAAATGCAGATTTATTGGAATGTTTCAGTTTTAAAGTTGCTTTATTGCTAATAAAAGTTTCCACAAAACAATGTGACACAACATTAAGGTGGTTATTTAATAGGTTTTGGCTATTCGTGCATCGTTCCAGTATAGTTTCATATAGGGTCCCTTTGTCTTATTCCCTTGTTTGTGCTTCAGCGGGGTCACCGAGGGTTCGATTCCCACAGCGGCAGCATGAATCTGGGTGGGCGAAGCGGTTGAGCGGTTTCAAGGTATTTGAATGCATTTAAATGTGGGAAATTAGAGCCCTGCTCTCTGTGTGAAACCTTCCTCGGTGAGAAAAGGATTTTCAAAAAGCAAAGATCAACGCAGATATGGAAAGATGTGGCTGTTTTACATTATTGGTTCTGGTTTATAAATACATAGATATCTTCCATATGAGGACTTTAATTATCCGATCGGACTGCTGCTCAGGACGTTTCCCTGGATAATCCTCATATAATCTCCCACTTCTCACCATGCTGTAATCCCTCACGTACTCCTCTGTATTCTGTATCACTCATAATCTATATGCTGCCCCTTGGCTGCCCCCAAACAAACCGCCCGGATACCAGAGCAAATCCTCCGTGAGACTGTCTCTGTCTGTCTGTCTGTGTGTCTGTCTGTGTGTCTGTCTGTGTGTCTGTCTGTGTGTCTCTGTCTTCCTGCAACCCGCTAACGTACCACAGCGAGTCACAGGAACCCTTTCTAGTAATCTAGTAAAATATTGTAGCAGGTAAATATCACCTGATAAATAGTGCGTTAAATGACATGAGACATTTTTAATTCACAGTTCAACACACGTTGAATGAGACCAATGAGTCTGATTCTACTTTTTTTCTAGGCAAAATGTCTTAAAAATCATACTTTTCTTAAGCAGAAAGACTAAATCAATTATGGTATAATAAATTTAACACTTTACTGGCAACACAGAGAAGTTCTTATTTCATAATCAAAAACAGTGAAAGGATTAAATAAAATGAACAAAAAGGAAATTCCTCTTCACAAAAAAAGAAAACTGATCCCCAGCTGTATATTGTCATCGTGTCGGTATCTAGGCAACAAAGAGCTCCGCCTCCTTAAAGTTCTGTATACTACCAGAGTCATTAGTACTACTACTACCACAGTCGTTAGTACTACTACTACCACGTAGTAGTATGCCACAGGAGAGTTCAGTACCTCCTCAAACATAGTACCTCGTGTGCTGTAAGCCAAAAGTACCAGATTGTTCCCCACATCTGGTCAGTTGGCGGGACAGCGTGTTTTGAAAGGTTCATTCTGACCCACAATCCTTTTCAGAAACAACGTTCAGATGAATCGGCAAAAGTCTGGAAGCGGTTCTTCTCTGTGGAGTAAAAAGGTCATTTAGGGAGAAGTTCAGTTGATGGGAAATTAATCCACGAAGAAAAGTAAGAAAAGTGATTAAATAATCTGTATTCAAATGATTGACAGTCAGAGCAAAGAAAGCTTTATGAAGGACCGGTATAGTTAAACTGTTAATGACAGAGCACACACACACACACACACACACACACACACACACACACACACACACACAGTGAGGATCAGCAGGGATAATCCTGCAGAGTTTCTAGGATGCCATCTGTGGCTTTAACAAAATGCATCTTCTGTTTAGCCACTAGAGGGCGCTCTGATTCACAGGACGGGTTTTAATGTCACACTCACTCGTTTCCTTTCCTCTCCTCCCTCCTCTGCTTTGTCCTCACCTATTCACCTCCAATTCTCACTTCTCAGTATATTATGGTATTTTTTCAGATTAAGCCGTTAAGGATTAAAATAATCTCTTTAAAATTCCATCTGCAGCTTTAAGATGAATGTTTAGTTTTTCAAAATAAAAGCATTTCTTTCCCCATCATTGAGGTGGTGAAGGTGCAACTGAAGGCAAACGAGCCGCCGCGACACTTTGAGAAGAGTTTTCCATAAAGAAAGCAGTGCGTGACATCACCTCAGTGTTTCTTCTTGGCCAGCTGTTCCTGTCGCTGCTTCTCGGCTTTCACCTTCTTGTACTGGGCGATCTCAGCCATCTGCAAGCCGTGGGCCATTTGCCTGATGGGACGAAGGGAAAAGGGTTAGGCTACACGGGTTGGGCTGGTGGGAGTTTTGGTAGATTTGTCTAATTATTTCATTTTGGTTCCAGTAGCTCGATGTTCTTTCCCCTGGTGGACCAAACCAAGCTAAATAGTTGTGTTGCCTGATCCCAGTTGTTTTCTGTTAACAAAAGTTAATGTTTTAAGCGTCTGTGTGCAAATTCCACCGACTTGGTTCTCGAGATAACCTGAGGAGAACAAAAAGGGGAGAAGAATAAAGCAGAAAAAGAGGTTCCTACCCGGATTTGACCTCTGGAGGAACAGGAAGAGGATTGTTGAATCCGTCTTTTCCCACGAGCCAGAAGGTCTCCTCCATACCTTTCCCCTGGGAGGACACACACACAGAGCGGTGACCCACTGCACCTCCACCACATGTAGGTATCTCCACTAGAGAAGCCTCCTACCTTCACTTCTCTCTTCCCTCTCAGCTCCACCTTGTAGCCCAGGTTCAGGTCCTGCAGGATCCTGGCGGTGCTCTGGTGGATGTGGATCCTCTGGGCTGCAGGAGAGCAGAACATCACAACAGTCGCTGAGGTCCCAGCTCTAACATCTTGACTCTTCTCATGTTCCTAGTCCGATTCTTTCACCCGCGTGCAGTCATTCAGTTGTGCTTACGTAATCCGCTGGACTCCATCCGAGAGGCGGTGGTCACCGTGTCTCCAAAGAGACAGTAGCGAGGCATCGTGAGGCCGACCACGCCCGCTACACATGGACCTGTGACACACACACAGAAAACAGAACCCTTTTTTAATGTCAGACGTCGCCATCTTGTTCCTTTGGTTGTCGATCTGTACTTTTGCTCATTTAGATTTTCTTTTTTGGGCATCTGCATCTTGTTTTGATGGTTGTCACGTGAGTTTATTTGTGATTGTACCTTTTTAATCTATTTTGAATGTCGTCATCTCGTCGTTTGTTCTGTTAAACACTCAACACGCTCCACGGAATGGTTCTACCCGTTGGTAGAGGACAAAGTTCACCGCTACTGGCTACCACGACCTTCTCCCCGCCCCCCCCCCCCCCGGCCTCACCGGTGTGCAGCCCGATCCGAATCCTGACGGGCACGTCGGGCATGTGTCTCATCTTGAAGGTGCCCACGGCGCTCAGGATGTCCAGCGCCATGTTGGCGATCTCCGCCGCGTGGCGGTTGTCGTTGGGGACGGGCACCCCCGACGCCACCATGTACGCGTCGCCGATAGTCTCCACCTGGGGGCGGAACGTAAAGGGTGAGGGCCCGCGGTGATGTTCCAACAACGAGGAGATGAAGGGGGAGCGGAGCCGGGCACCTTGTACACGTCGTGGTTTCCGATGATGGCGTCAAAGATGGTGTAGAGGTCGTTGAGGAGGTCGACCACCTCGATGGGCTCGCTGTGCGCCGAGATGGTGGTGAAGCCCACAATGTCGCTGAAGTAGAGCGACACGCTGTCAAAGTGCTCCGGCTCCACGGTGCCGCCCACTTTCAGAACCTCGGCCACCGACCTGCGGGGACGATCGAGACGTCCCGTCAAGAATGTGGACTTTTAGTAACATAACATAATTCAAGTAGTTCTTCATTTGTTGTTATTATTATTATATTTTTCATCTAATGTAAACTTCCCATTGGAGTCGTTTTGAGGGACTCGCTTCCCCTCGATCTACAAACATACGTCATCTCTTCTACGACGTCATCGCGCCAGACCCGATGATGTCATGGCGGGAGGCCCGGGGTCCTCCCGCCTGGGTTTAACTCACGGAGGAAGCATCTGAGTCAGCAGCTTCTCCGTCTTCTGTTTCTCGATCTCCAGCTCCTCCGTCCGCTCCCGGATCAGCTCCTCCAGGTTGGACGAGTACTGCTCCAGCATCCTCAGCATGGAGTCTATGATGTTGGTCTTCTTCCCTTTGTTGATGTTCTTAAACTAAAGAGGAGGGACACAGATTATTCAAATAGACCTTGTAGTTGAGATGAGGCCTTTTCTAGTGGGGGGTATGCAAGCAGAGGCCCCAAAAACAGCCACGCTAAAAGGACATTTGGCAGCATTTAGAGAGTCGGTATGTTGTGTTGAATGAAGCGTAACATCTCCAAAAGCTTCACGCCTACCTGGTCGAAGACCTCCTCAAAGCCCGGCCTCTTGTCCGGCTGTTCGTTCCAGCACTGTTTCATCAGCTGGATGCACTCAAGGGGAGCGAAGTCCGAACTCACCACCGGGCGAAACAGCGGCGGAGGCTTACGCAGCTTCTCTATTATTTCTAAAATACAGAGAAACATGCGCTCAGACGTTGATAATATGCTAACAGGCCCTGCTAACGTACCGACGTTTAAATGCTAAAAATCGGCAAGATATTTCAACCGCATGGTAGCGTTGGAGGGAGCGTGTGGATTACCGTGGCCGGTTGACTGAATCTTTAGCATTAGCGAACAGAAGAAATCAAAGGACCTTCTGAGAAGGTTCAGCTTCGTTCAAGAACCACTGCGAACCAAACAGGAGCAATTTTTTGCGGCGTGTTCCGCCTGAAAACTCGCCACTGCATTAAGCTTAAGTGGACGTCTTACCTGTGGTGGGCATGTCCATCATGCAGTAGGGGGCCCCTCTCACCACCACCTCCTGCATGATGATGGCGAAGCTGTAGACATCGCCGCACAGCGACCCGTGGAGCTCCGGCTGGCAGCCCCTCAGGATCTCCGGAGCGGTCCACAGCAGCTCTGCGGAGACACACGGCGCCGCGTTAGCTAGCGTAGCTACAGCCTCCGCAGCGAGGGACGGCTCCCCAACCCGAGCTCCTCTCCCGTCTCCGTCTCACCTTCTGCAGGCGGTTCCACGTAGGGGAACCTCTGGGCCTCCAGCACCTCGTTGTAGCCATAGTCGGTGACCTTGAGGACGAAGCGCCCGTCCACCACGCAGTTGCGTGACTTGAGACGGGTGTGGGACACGCCGCGGTGGTGGAGGTACTTCATTCCCTGGGGGAGATAATGACGGAAGAGTCTTTATACACGTTATTCTTTAACTTTTTCAACACGAGACTCTTCCTTCTAACGCTTTCTGTGCAGTGTGATTAATTAATTGAGTAATGAATTCACCCTCCAAGCTTCCCTGACCTTAATCAAATCCAGCAGCAGCGAGGACTTGAACATCCAGTCCAGTTTAACGTCATCGTTCAGCAGAAGGTCCTCCAGACTTCCCCTGGAGCAGAACTCCGTCACGATGGCGAACACGCCGCAGTCGTGGAAGAAGCCCAGGAAGAGGTTCACGTTCTCGTGGCGCATGTCCTTCATCTGCGGAAAAAGCGGTGTTACGGGATGGCGCGTACATGGATAAGGATAAGATGACGGACGCCTTCTTTGATTCTCACGGACCAGTTCAAACACGTGGCTGGTTTTGGGGTTGATGCTGCGGAACAAACCGTCGGGAAGTCTCTTCAGCCACGCCCAATCGCCCTGCGGCACAGAAAAGAACCAGACGTCGATCAAAGTAACAGCTGCATTCTCTCCGGTGACCACCAGCGGGCGACTCTTTTAGGGCGGGGCTTCCTCGGGATTGACATTCCCGGAAAATCTGTCCCATTTAGCCCTCGTTGCTTCTCCTGAAGGAAGAACGTGGTGCCCTCACCTCGAAGACGACGATGTTGGAGTTCTCGTAGGTGGCAGGTGATTGGGTGGAGGCCGGCGGCGTGGCGTCCGACAGGCTCTTCATGGCGCTCGCCCTGCCGTCGTCCAGACTCAGCTTCTGGAAAGGGGAGACCGTTCAGGGCGCGGCCTAAAGAGATCTCCGCTCGAGTTTGAACTCATTGTGGTATTTTAAGGGTTCAAGTGATGGACGGAGCGCTCAGATGAGCCACTGCCAATCAAGGAGGGGCAGACCTTGTTGCTAAGCGACGGGTTGATAAACGTGACGTCAGCCAGAGTCAGCAAGATCCTGTTGGGACCCTTCAACAGCAGGATCTGATTGACGCGTCGCCTAGGCAACAACAGACAGCCGGTCGGCGTGACGCAATTCACGAGTGTCCGAAAAACTGATTTATTTGTGATCGGTAATAAGTGAATATATGAAGGAAATTCCACGCAAACGGGGGTCAATCTACCTGATGCAGTAAACAAACGCCACTCCGAGAACGAAGGCGGCCGTCGCTCCGAGGAAAATGAAGATGGTGGAGAACGGATCCACGCCTGGGTCAGGGAAAGCTTTTAATAACTCATCTCATTACTCAAAACATCAGACTTTAGGTTGTTAAACACTTGAGTGTGTGTTTGTGTGCGTTGTGTTTGCCCCTGACCCCCCGAGCAGAGGACTCCACGCGTAAACCAGCAGGACGAGTCCTTCCTGGGTCCGTAGCCGCGAGGGAAGTGGATTTCTCGCCCGATGAAACGCACCGCGCCGGCCTCCATGTCGATCCTGTCGTTAATCAACCCGATCGGGTTATTCGACCAGATAAGGAACAGAACCGTGTTTAAGTAAAAGAGTAACCTGAAATAACAACGCCTGGACCTGTGAGTGGGCTTCAGCTCCCAGGAGACTCCGTCCGTGTCCAGGATGAGGAAATCCAGCAGAGCCGCTCCGGAGTCGCTGGTTCTGATCCGGTGGCTGAAGCCCTGCGCCGTGAAGTCACACATGTAGTTCTTCCACTTAAGTAAATAAAGTCGTTGCCGTTTTAAGTATTATCACCTGGAAGTCCATGTTGGCGGCGTGTCTCGCCAGGTTACTCCCGGACATCCGCTCCCCAGCTTCCCGCACCCGATTCACCGCGTGAGCCACGAAGAGCACGGAGCTGTACACGGTGCCAAAGAGCGGAGACACCTGAGGGGGGGGGGGCAACACGGGATCAAACGGACCCGCCTTGCTCGGGGGGCATCACAACAGAAAAAGAGGCCCCTCCCACGCCTCACCTGCTGAGGCTTCCAGGTCCCGCCCACCTCCCCCCTCTCCACGGCCTCGCCGTAGGCCTCGTAGAAGGACGCCCCCGGCGAGTCGGCGGTGACGGTGAGCACGGCGTCGTACGCCCGCAGCAGCTTGCCGCTGCGCCTCAGGGCCGGGTAGCTCACGTTGCGGTGCGGCAGGCTGTAGAGCAGCGCGTCGTACGGCACGAACACCAGCGAGCCGTCGATCAGCCGCATGTCGTAGGCCGCCTCCAGGAGCCGCTTCTGGGCCCCGCCCCCGATCAGAGCCGAGTGCATGCAAAGGACCACGACTGCAGGACGGGGGACACCGCGCTCGGGTTAGGGGACAGAGGTGCCTGGTCTCACTTTGCGGCCAGTAAGCGAAAAAGAAAATAATCACGTCGTATTTCGCTCATCTCGCGGAGCTTCGTCAGAGTCCGCCTGATGGCGAGGGGCGAGTTCTCCATAACGCTGACCAGGCGGACCGGCAGGCCGTGACTCCTCAAGGAGTCCGCCACCTGGACGGGACGGATGAAGTGGGCGAATTACTCAACTCGACTCGAAGACAAAATGGCAACGAAGGAGGAGCTTCATTGGGCGGACTACCCACCTTGGAGCCCGTCTCCGCCCACACGTCCTCGGAGGAGGAGATGACGGCCACGTGTGCCCACCGGAAGTAGCTGATGAGGCTGAGCAGCACGCGCGTGGGCCTCGGCGCCGAGTGGGCGAACGTCGGGTGGCTCCGGACGTCGTCCAGCTCGTGGCCGACGCACCCCCACGGGAACAGGGCCTGGGGGGGAGGAGCCGTGACCGTCAAACAGCCGGAAACCCCCAAGGTACCCTCTGAAATGTCGGATCCACCCCCCCCCGGGCGACCTACTTTGTTCCAGCCTTTGCTGAGCATCGACGCGGCGTCGCAGTAGGCGGGGTTCGCCGGGCCGATGAAGCCGGACGCCTTGGTGTGGAAGCCGAGGAACCTCTCCAGCGCCCTGGAGGTCTCGCACGGCTCCTGAAACGATCGACGGAACGGAGCGATCAATAACCGGCTGACCTCACCTCACCACCACCACCACCACCACCGGGCGGGCGGGGGTCGCACCTGCAGCAGGACGAAGTCGAAGGCGCCGCCGCGGGACAGCGCCGGGTCCCCGTTGACGCGGTCGACGGCCAGCTGCGCCGCCACGGCGGGGAGGGCCTTGGCAAAGAGGGGGTCGCACCCCCAAGGACCCACGACCCCGACCCGGAACCAGGCGGCCTGGGCGGAGCGGGGCGGCGAGCACAGGGAGGCCAGCAGGAGGAGACGGAGGAGGGACGGCAGGAGCAGAGCGGCGGGAGAGGACATGTTGGTGAGGCAGAAGGGAGGAGGAGGAGGAGGAGGTGGAGGAGGCCTCCTTCTTTGCGGCAGGAAGGCACGTCGCTGAGGCGCCATCTCAAGGTTCAACCGCTCACATGGACCAGCAGGGGGAGGGGCTTCTTCCCTGGAACCCCCAAGGAGAAAGGTCAGAGGTTACATGTGCTGCTTATTGTATATTATAAGTTGGAATAACTTAAAAATGGAAGTAAATACAACTAAATATAAGAAAGCTCGACATGTAGATTTAAAGTAAACGTAACTTACTAATAATTATATTTACTTATCGAGATTCTTTTAAGCAACATTGTATACAGAGGATTGGATGCAGCAGGTCCTCCATCACTACAGTGGGTGTAGAGAGAGTCATCAGCTCGCTCTGCGTCAGCTACAACGGGATTATCGACGGTAATCATAATCCAACCGGGCCCTGAAGTAACCGATCATGGTGATTCTGCAGCTTTTATTTTGAAAATACTCAATCTGCAGCTTGATTTTAAGACACTCGATAGCCTCAAAGATTTATCGTCTGAAGCAATAAATGTTTTTTTAGTGGTCCTCAAACAGATGCTGCACAGCTGGAGAATCACTTGTCAACACTCGTAACTTGTTGTTCCATAACACGCTTCCTGTGTGATCGTTCCCATCGAAGGGCTCCTACCATGTGTCCAGGAGACGAGGCGAGAGCAGGTCTGGAGACTTTCTCCTCCTCCCTTGTTGTTCTTCGTCCAAAAGGCGAAAGCGCCGTCCATCTGTAAAAAGAGTGTGTGTGTGTGTGTGTGTGTCTGTGTGTTGTTCGCGACGTGTGACCCGTCCTGTCAGATTATATCAAATCCAATCAGCACCTCTGTGGCTTAGAGCCGCACTGACTGAGGGGACGAAGATGAAGATGAAGATGGGTATTATTATCCTCTTGAGGGACGTAGAAGTGTTTGACTTCACGCTGGTCAGAATCCACATGCACGCTGTTTAGTATCTGATCACTGCCGTTTTAACGTGTCTGGCAAAACAATAAGGAATAATCTTTCCAACTTAAATCAACAAGAGAAGAAGATGATGAAGCAGGTTCAGTGCATTTCAAAAAGGAAATATTTTGATGCAAATGTTAATATCAATGTTGGATCAAATGTTGTAAGTACACAAATAGTGAGCGAGACAGAACAAAATCAATTTGATAAAAGAAATGTGCGTCCATGGGAATATTTTCGCACGCTTGTTTTCAAAAAACTTTATTGAACTTCATATTTCGGAGCAATAAAAGGGGCAAACGTGCAACATTTTAAACCTGCACTCTGTGAAAATGAACAAAATGTAACGTAAAGGTAAGTCACATGACCCGAGAAGTGCCGAGCTGCTTTGACAGCCAGAGGGCAGCAGGACACAGAAAAACACCCGCTAGTCTCCCTCCTTCGATGTAAAAATCTCCTTTTTTCATTTTACTTCTCCTCCGGGTTCACTGGGATCTCGTGACTCCAACTCGTGGGCACATTTCAAGTGTCAAGGACAAAACTGAGGCCGAACCCGAGCTGAGGAGGACTAGAGGCCCCAGAGCGGAGGAGGAACTCATGCTGGGCGGTTTGCAGAGCTGGGGAGGAGGCCCGAGGAGGCCGACGGGCCGGTGGCTGGAGACTGAAGCTGTAACCTGACTCTGACTGACGTAATCGCTCCAGATGTTCGTGTTGGACCAAATCCAGCTTCAACACAAAATCTTTGATAAAACAAATGACGAAAGATATTCCAGCGACCTGATGGAGACGGAAAGGTTGTCGTCACATGACCGACTGGAACCGTTTGTTGATGAAAGACGTGAAATGAGGAGTGAAGCTCCAGAAGGAACCTAGTTAAAGGGGGGGAGGGGGGTTACACCAGGTGTTTGCTGGCGTCTTAAAGCTGCATTCTGTCTACTGTCCACCAGGAGGCGACTCCTCTGCTCCCATAGACGTCTATGAGGAAATGACTCTACTTCTCTGTAGTGACCAGCAGGGGGCGACTCCTCTGCTCCCATAGACGTCTATGAGGAAATGACTCTACTTCTCTCTTGATTTATTCCCTCAGTAAACTCTAGTTTCTCTAGTTCTCAAGTCTTCTTCACTACAGAGAAAAACAAAAGCCAGGGCGAAAAACCGAGATTGGGGCGACATTTTGATGTTTTTGTAACTGTAAGAGGTGCACGTCAAGTTGCATTGTGGGTTGTGTAGTCTGATGATGACTTCAAGCTAATTACAACGTGAGGAAATCCACACAGAATCCTCATTAAAAGCAAGTGGTGATGAAAAACATCCCCAATGCTAATTATGTCTCATTTAGCTTCGTTTTTGCCTCATCCGCCGAGGTTCTGGTAGCTTTTCTGTCCGTCAGTTCATCTCAACAGCAAAGATCAGCCGCAGGTCAACGTCCACATGCGGCCCGTGTCCTTATATCCAGGCGATGACAGCGATGACTTAGCGGTCGCTGACGGAGGAGAGGCCCTGGTTCACTCTGATCTCTGACGCGCTGATCTACATTTAGTGGCCCAAACAAGATCCAGGTCAACATGTGTGTATATATGCATATACGCATTGTATTCCTTGGTCTGCATCTGGTACAGTAGACCTACGCAGAGCGTTTAGTAGCCGTCGATTCCACATTGACTTGTGTTGAAATATCCACGCAGGGGCTTTCTTCTCTTCTGCCGTCCCTGCTTCGCTCAGTCTACAAATCTTCCTTATCTGATGCCGTCTGCAATTTGACCGCACATGAAAGGAGGAACGAGGAAAAGTCCAAAAAATCCCGGGGAAAAAAAAAGCACCGGTGCCACAAGAAAATAGGAATGAAACGGTATTTAAAGCGACCCCCGCCACCCAGAAACCAACACCCTGCCAGTTTAGCACCAGGCTCCATCAGCGCACACTGTTGCTGTGGCCGCTGTTTATTCGTTATGGCAACTAGAGGATCCCTACAACATGTTTAGTAATCCCCCTCCTCCCCGTGGCGCTGCAGGGCAACACTCAGCCGCCGCTTATTATGGAAAACACAAGGCCAGCGGGCTGCGTTGTAGACCAAACACTATGCGGAGGAGCCTTGTGCAGAGAAAGGACGTCCCGTTACAAGTGGTTTACTCTCAAGAGGCTGTAGATACAGATAGAAGATCTCGCCTGAAACACACGCGTGGTCGTACCTTCATTTAGATGTAATAACGGGTCTTTGCTTGGATACAATAGAAACAGACCTCTCTGATGTCAGCGGGTCAAGCTGTCTATCAGTGAAAATGGAAATTCCTCTTGAAGCTCCTTATCAGTGGCTTATCGTAGCGCCTAGAAAAAATCATTAACTCATCTGGAAAACACGATGCAAGCCAACATGGAGAGGGCAAAGGTCGGAAATAAACTGCTGATAAAAAACAGGATTTACCACATCAAGATCTTTAAACAAGCTTTAGAAATCTGTGTGAACAAACTAAAACCCGAATATTCTGCAGAAACGCTGCACTCGGAGGGAGAAGTGAGGGAAAAGGCCGACAGGATGGGAGAGGGGAAGCGGGTTTCCCGCTGGGAGCTTTGGAGGCAAAAGTAGAGATAACAAACCTCAGCTAATGTTCATGCATTTACCCCTAAAGGGCAAAACACAGAGCGGACGTCTCCTGAAGTCGTGAGAGAAGTCGCGACCGCTCCGCTGGTGTAATCAGAAGCTCCGGAACGTTTGCTGAGTGGACCTTACGCGGAGATTGTTTGCTTAACTATTAGCATTTGTGCCACAAACTGATGGAACTGAAACAGATGTTTAATCAGATATTTTATTTTTATGTTTTATTTTAAGTTTTATAAGTTTGTAAGTTATTTTTGATCATCTTTCTAAAAGGTTCATTTTCAAGGCTGTAAAAATAAATACTCCCAATGCGAAGCCTCAAGCGAGTCGACTCTGGCGAGTTGAAATAGTGACACCTAGAGGTCGGTGTGAGTAACACTACTCCCCCTAGTGGCCCCTTTAATAACACAGAGATGCTATATAACTAAAGTGTAAAACAACAATTTACTTCTTTGCTCGTTAAGTTACGAACACTTAAGAACACAACGTTGCATCATCGGCAAAAGAGAGAAAAATGCGTTAAAAAAGATTTTATTTCTGTATAAAAGGATTATGATACTGATACTTAACTCATGCATGCATGCATTGTTTGGGGGGGGGGTATTCTGTGGACTTGCCCCTCTCAATGGTTCCGTGTGATATCCACGAGCTGCATCACATGATCGGGTGTAGCGGCGCCGGGGGAGATCAGGCCAAGCTCCTCTGCGAGGGAGGGGTCGCGGCCTTTGACCCCGCTCGCATTTCTTTCTCCCGATGTGATGTTCTTGGCCTCCTCCTTCAAGACACCTCGCGTCTAGACGGCATCCAAACGTTTAATGACGTCGTCTATTTTCAGTTACCCAGAAGTCACCGCGGCTGTTTCTCCCCTGACCGAAAAAGGGAAGGCGTTGCACAAAGCTCCGTTTTCTAAATCCGGCCGCTGGATGTCCCATTAAGTCTTCATCCATCACATGAGCTAACGGCTCTCAGAGAGGCGCGGGGGGCACACAGGAAGTAGGTCCTCCACAAGGAGCGCCATGTGGGAGGAGTTAAAACACGCGTCGTCTCTGCACTAAAACGACACGCGAGACCGACTTCATCCTCAAGCTTTTTTTCCCTCCCAGAACGTCGATGGAGCCCCGCTGCTTTTTCACTGGGGCGGAGGGTCAAAGGTCAGCGGCCGGGGTCAGCGGACAATCTGTTTTGCCGGCGTGCGTCAAAAGGGTCGGAGTGGCGGCTCGCCGAGCGAGAGGGAAACTCCAAATGCTCAGGAATTCCGTCTTCTCTGGGAATTCTGTGTGTGCGGAGAGGTCGTGAGAACAGCCGAACACACACACACACACACACACACACACACACACACACACACTTCGTCTTTACATGGACGCTGTTGTTTCATGTTGTACATCTCTGGAAGCCCATAAGTCTCCTCTTGTTTGGACTCAACAGAAACAAACGAGCTGCTTTCGCACCTCGAGTCGACTCCTCCGGCTGAGCGATGGTGGAAAGGTTTACGTTGTCGTGGTTACGGGCGGTTCACGCTGTCGTGGTTACGGGCTCGTCCGTGGAGTGAGGAGCGTCGTGTGCTGCGGGTTTAACAGAAACATGACTTCAACCCCTTGACTTCATTAGAGATGAATGGATTTCTTCTCATTTAAAACACACAAATGTGCCGTAAATCAGAGAAATGTGTTTTCTTTTGACTTTATCTGCTTCTTTTAGAAATTGTCACCATTCAAGCTGATTTAGCTTTTGGCAGTTTCAGACAAATATCTCTGGATGCTTGTGACGCTGAAACAAATTCAATAGAAATGATCTCAAAGGACTTCATTTAGCAACATTTTCCAGTTTAGGCTGAAAACGTATTTTTCCAAAAAGCGCAATATGTTCAATAATCATTACGATAATATAATATTATTCTCATTTGCATTTTTATTTTAAAAGTGATTAAGTATTTTCAAATTAAAAACTTTTAAATGGACTTTACATTCAACATTCAAATTACACACATTATTATACGCTTTGTGAACAAAAGGAAAAGAAAAATCAGTCCGTCCTCTTTGGATGAAATCTCAGCGTCTTTCTGGTTGTAAAAGCCTTCGGGGTCATTTCCTGTCTTCTCTCTTCATGAGTCTGCAGCAAAGAGGAGACTTTGTATCCGCGCTGTTCCCGCTGGGATTCACCCGACAAAGCCGGTTCAAACCAGCCGTCTCCTCAAAGTAACGCAAACGCAAGATCACAAAGCACTTTTGAGGCTCTCGTCTTTGCCCTTAAATCAGCTTCTCGTCCTCAACCCGCTCTCCGAGCGGTTTGCCGGGCGCTCCGTGGACGAGTGTTCGTTTCCCCAGAGGTCACGGGGACCCCAGAGGTCACGGGCACCCCAGAGGACAGCCTCGGTTGCCGAGGACACCTCCGGACTGCTCTCGGACCTCGGTGGGAGTCCTGGTCCTTCCAGCTGTCCTGGGGTCAGAGGGCGGTGGATGACTTGACCTTGGAGGAGAGGACCTGTCTGAACCTCCTCTTCAGCTCCTGCATGTTGGGGGATTTGGGTCGGGCCAGGTGGAGGCCTCCTCTGCGCTTCTCCCCGTTGCCGCCTCCCAGTGCCCGGACCACCTGGAACAAAGAGACCATCTCAGCGACAACCCGATGGCGTGATGTCACAGATCAAACGCGTTCATTCACTCAGCGCTTTTTTGGGGGGGAACCGTGTGGCTATAAAACCAATTCAGAGTCTCCTTTCAGCTCTGTTTTGGTCTCCACCGAGTCACCAGGGGAACATTTGGCTCTTTGATGCTTTGACCCCAGAAAACCAAAACAACCGGCTGAAAGAAGCGAAAGATCTAAGAGGAGAAGCACATTTCTTAATTAAGAAGAATTAAAGCACAATGTCACTTAACGCACGCGCAACTACGGTCTGAGAACACGTGAAACAAAAATACTCCTTTTGTTCCACCACTAAAAACAAATACGCCGATGGGACCAGTGCGGGCATGGAAACCTCTCAGCGACCAAAAATACAAGCGTGGTATTTGGATCCCAGCTGGAAATAGCCTGAGCACTGGCAATTCCCACAGGAAGTGAACATCGCTTAGAGGTTTGCTGGATTTGAGGTGAATCTGCTGGCGGAGAAAAGGAAGTCCCACCTCCTGACAGAGGTGGAGGAAGGTGGCGTGGACGCCCTCGTGGTTCTCTCTGGCCGAGGCCTCGAAGTAGACTCCCCCTGAGAGCACAAGTTCATCAGTCAGACAACACTCGCATGCAGGATGTAGTCAACACAGAGTGTGTGTGTGTGTGTGTGTGTGTGTGTGTGTGCTGTAATCAGACAGCTGCAATCCGCCAGATGTTTGTTGTTACGGACTGGCGACGGTGGGAGGAGCCTCGTCAAAGTGTTTCAGTTCCCTCGTGAGGTTTCTGCCTGAAAACTGGCACCAATGTTGCTCATCACATCATGAATGTGTCGTTGGAAAGTTTTCAAGGCCTTAAAGAGTCTACAATGTTATCAGTGAGACTCTTAGAACGCGCTGCAGGTCATTGGAGGTCAAATGAAGGAGTAGCAAGTAGCAGTAACGAGGTAAATAAAGACGTCCTAAAATGTACATCAGGAGTCAAAAGTAAAGTAGTGAAAGATTTTGGTACTTTAACCAAGAACATTACGAATAAGCAATATATTTATTTGCCGTTGAGTTGGAACTCATTTAATAACTTTTTTTTAAACTAATAACTGTTTGATAACTGCACATTTTTCTTACTCGAACCAACCTACTCTGCAGAAACGTAAAGAAAAAGTGTATGTGATGCTGCAGAAGACCAAATGGGAGGAAAGAGGAAGTAGAACAAGGAGAGCAGGAAGAAGAAACGCAAAGCGGAGGAGGAGGAGGAGGAGGAGGAGGAGGAGGAGGAGCCCCACCCAGCGTAGCCGCGAGCGTCTCGCCTTCGTCCGCCGGCACCTGCCTGGCTCTGAGCAGGTCGCTCTTGTTCCCCACCTGCAGTGGATTACAGATTACGGGCGGGATTAGCTCGGCAGGGGGGGGGGGGATTGGGGTCAGCGGGGGAGTCTGTGCGCTTTACGCTCCACGTGTTTCACCAGGATGACGGGGATGTTCCCGGAGGGGTGGATGCGCCTGACGTGCTGGTACAGCGGCTGGATGGTGCGGTAGCTGTGCAGGTCGGTGATGGAGTAAACCAGCACGTAGCCGTCGGCCCAGTAGATCGACCTGCAGGCCCACGGGACAGTTATGGACACGCCTTAAGGCCGGGACTCACGTGCGCAATGGAAGAACCTGACCTGTTGATCTGCTCCTGGCAGTGAAGGCCCTCGGCGTCATCCTGGGGACACGACCAGGGGGGGTCAGCACGACAAAACGGTACCCATCATCCAATGTGAACCAACTCAACATCGCCTGCTTCTTTTACAATGCACATCGATGGGGAGGATTCACACAGTAGTATTACACAGTAAGGTGTAAACTACAATATGAAGATACGCATGCACACATTCATAAGTGATTAATATAATAATATTCTATAATTTTGCTGTGGTTTTACATCAGTTCTGAGTGAAAAAACACATAAAATGACGTAAAAAGAGAAAATAAGCAAATGCCCGAATTTAAGGAGCTTAAACCGACAAATCTTTTTTGTCGGTTTAAGTTACTGTGTCATAGTTGAAGCACTTATCACATGATCTTGAAGTGGCTTCCTATTTTAAACCCTTCCGGAGTCCATCCAACTGCTTTCACAAGAACCCCAAATTACTGCGGCAAAGATTCCTACGTTCCCTGAGAGACATCCACATCTTTTCACAACCTCAACTAATTTGTTGTTAGTTGCCTAAACTTTGGGGGGGGGGGTAGCAGAGCAGCTTAAACTGAGTCAGCAGCTGGTGATTCAACTAAACCAAGACAAATGTCTGTTTATGCGAGTCGCACCAGCTGCTGGACTCCAGAAGAAGCCAGCGGACCTCTCCACTCCTCAACCGGGGGGGGGGGGGGGCAATCGCCCTCCACACTCACAAACGACCGGGAGAAACAACATATTCAGGAGGAGACTTCCTCACCCGGCGTTACCACCCCCCCCTTATGCCCGATGCCCCGATGTCTGTTGCTTTTCTCTATAAACAGACGGCCGGTGTGCAGCGGGGAGAGACGGTCGGCACGTTGCGCTCATTAACCTTGAGGAGATACGGTCACTTCCTCTCGCTTCAAACTCATTCCTCAAATTGCTTTTGAGATAAAAAATTTAAAAAAGCAAAACGTCTTTGATGAGTTCAACTTTTAAATAGAGCACTTTTCAACTCCTCTGCTCCCATAGACGTCTATGAGGAAATGACTCTACTTCTCTGTAGTGACCAGCAGGGGGCGACTCCTCTGCTCCCATAGACGTCTATGAGGAAATGACTCTACTTCTCTGTAGTGACCAGCAGGGGGCGACTCCTCTGCTCCCATAGACGTCTATGAGGAAATGACTCTACTTCTCTGTAGTGACCAGCAGGGGGCGACTCCTCTGCTCCCATAGACGTCTATGAGGAAATGACTCTACTTCTCTCTTGATTTATTCCCTCAGTAAACGTTAGTTTATGGTCTCAGTCTCTAGTTTAAAGTCTTCTTCAACACAACATGATGTTCATTTAGTGCATTATGGTCCATTTAGAGTCACACAGACCATGAAGCAGGGGACGCTTTAGGGCGGGGCTACGCACTGATTGGCAGGTACGGATAGGTACCTTTTAGGATCTTCGTACAATGAAGACTCAGCTTCTTCCGCGTCGCTAAATAATTACGACGGTTCTGAGCATTCTAGCATAGTTAGGTCACACAGTTGTAGATAACGTTACACCTCACATCTCCATAAACCCACAGATGTTCTGCTCATAACGCTGCCAGAAGCCTCTGGGATGGAAGCGTGGGCGGGCCGCCCGCCCCCATCGGGGGGGTTTACCTGGAGAGCCACGCAGGGAGTATCCTGGATCTGAAGCGACACTTCCTCCCCATCCAGCGCGACCTTTCTGGAGTAGAGCGCTCCTGGGGAGAATGAAAGGGAATGGGATGAATGGCCGGACGGGGGGCTTCTGCTGCTCGCTTCGAGCAAACGTCCCTCTAGTTGGTGTCGGAGGAACTCACCAGTGTTCGCTTCGTAGTCCCCGATGAACCTCTTGGTCAGAAACCTGACAATCAGAGCTGAAGAAGAGACGAGAAAAGGACCACGTTTCTAAACCGTTGTCTCGTTGGAAGTAAAACATGTTTCTTAACCCTCAAGGTTCTCGTGCTTTGAATTGGAAATAAACGACAGAAGATCAGACCAACCTGCTGAACCTGCACAACCCTTAACCGGTTGCAGGTGTTGCAGGAATTTCTCATTTTCTGTGTCACATTTTTAGATTCTAAAAAGGTCTGCGGCAGAGATGAGCCGAACCAACAGGCCCAAAGTCTGCAGAAGGGAAATGATTCACCAATACTACGAATGTGATGTGTGGCAACCCGCTGTGCGTCATCTTTGTGTTGGTCAATGATTGTCTCATGCATCTCTGTCTGTTTCTAAACCTTCTTTTTGGCAGAAGCATTTGTCTCCCGTCTGTGATTTGTACACATTAAAGGTCTCACGAAGCGCCGAGTCGCAGCAGGAAGGGCTGCGAAATCCTCCCGACACCCACAACCCTACATTTCCCATAATGCAACGTGGTACCTTCCCTCGGCATCCCCACCTGAGCCCGAACTGTGATCGCCCCGATGACATCACTATGACATCACCAGGGCTGTTTTCTATGACTCCAGAGACAAAAAGCACTGCTTTCTGGTTGGTTCATGTCGACGAACTTGAATAGTTCCTTGAAGTTTAGTACGAATTGTAAAAAACTCACCTCCTGCCTTCCAGAGAGAATATATTTACAGTACTTAAAACCCTCAACAGGATCCAAAGTTGTTGAGATCTAAAGCGACACAACTGGAATAAGTTATGCTCTTAATTCTCTCTTTGTTATTTGAAAAAATGAAAGCTCGTCCCTTATACAACCTGGGATATGATGAGGGCCACAGATGAAACTACTCGTATAGAAGGCACCAACACTGCTTCCATTGCTGATCGCAATGAATAAAGGCTAACAAATAAAACAGAAAGAGGTGTAATATTTCGCAGAAGGTCGCCCCCTGTTGTTCAGGTTGCTTAATTCAAACCTTAATTCCCTTATATGTTTCTGCTCTAGCCGACAGATATGTTCCAATAACAACAAAGCTGAGCGATGGGTCGCTTGGTTGGTTATTATTGGTTATTTATCACGTCATTGACATGTGTTTCTTAATCCCCACAAGGCTGTCTGCCCATTTCTCAGTTAATGTGAGGAGAAAGCAAACAGGAAAAGCTTCCCTCGTTAACTCGAGTAGATGAGCCTGACCCCCCCGCAGCTCCTCCGCTGTTCCCTACCGGTCTTCCCGACGTTGCTGGCCCCGAGCACCACGATCTTCACCGTCTTGTTGGGCACGCAGTCCAGCGGGGGGTACTCCGGGATGGGCACCAGCAGGAAGTTACCGGACCCGCCGCTGCTGCTCATGGTGGCCGCTGCAGGGTCACCAGAGAGCCGCATTTAGCTCCCCGCTGGTCCCAGATCAGCTTCTGCTCTATGTGGGGAGATAACGGGGGAGGGAAGGGGGGAGGAAAAATCACTCCAATGTTCCCATAATATTCCTTCCCAGCGTGGAGAGCTGTCCTGCTGTTTCTTCTTGGTGGTTTATCATGCAGAAAAATAAAGGAGGTGTTCTGTCTCTGTTAAAGCTGAGAAAATTCCCTAATAATTCCCAAGCTGCAGTTTTCCAGAGAAAAGTCTCCGCGGATCCTTCAGCGACGGGAAGCCACCGCCGGACCACCAGAACCACCACAGCACGGCCACATCTGGACGCTCAAAGGCAAGATCCTTAAATTATGACGGTCAGAAAAGAAGTTATCCGGTTCGCACCGATTGCGGATCCTACTGACCGCGGGGAAGGAGGGAGGGAGGGAGGGAGGGAGGGGGGCAGAGGGGGAGTCTCTGATCCATCCCCTCTAATGTTCCCATGAGAACATGTCAGGAAACATTTATTACCAAAATAAGATCTAATTAAGATTTAAGATTAAGATCTATTATGTTAGACAATTATGGGACGGCAATGTGCGTTTTATCAACTTCTAATTCAGTAGTGATAAAATGAATGAAATACTACTGACTGGAGGCTACATCCCGCCATTAAAAGAATAACTAAGCACATCAAAAGGATTTAATAGCTTAATCGAAAATCTAAATAAATCTAACTCCATTCATTTAGAATTTGTGGGATGAATCTGCTTCCGTGTTATTCATGCAACATATGTGATTGATTATCTTGGGTTGAATAAAAAAAGGAAAATTTTTAGGTTATAATTCGAAGAGAACTAAACGAGTAAAGAATTAAATAAAATTAGAGTCCAAAAGGTGAAAACAAAAAACAAATTCCTTGAAGTCAACATGTCAATTCTGCATGCAAATGTGACTGCGGTAAAAAATGTAAAAGGATCAGTCAAAATATACTTAAAAGTAACCTCCTTAAAGAAAAGTGACAAAATGTGCCAACTGGGCGCTGGATTCATCTTAATATGGCAACTTGTAGGGGTGGAGATGCCGTTATTTACATAATATGTCTCTGAGTATCTCGTAAATTCATAGATGGACTTATTTGCTATCATATAAAAGATTCTATTTTGGCCCAACGACAAAGTTTGGCGTGAGACCTACATTTTGATTATAGCACCGCCCACCGATTCTAGCCCTTGTAACCACAATCGAGCGTCCCAAAGTGCTTCAGATTTGAGCATCGGCGACACTCCCTCTAAACGTCCCCTTCGAGAGGACGACTGACAGACACCGTGAGCGAGACCGGAAGCTGCGTCGTTCACATTCAAAATAAGAAAACAGCACGTCCATCCTTCACACATATGAACAGTTCTGCACATTATCAGGAGAACTGGTTATTATATGATATTACGAGCCGGCTTAGGTTAAATTTTGAAGTGATTTTGGTTTAATGTATACATTCTATGCAAATGTACACTACATTACTTTGCGTGATAAATATTCTATTTACTCCACTACCTTTAGTTACCAGTCCATTTCCAGATTTATAACAGGTACACAATATAGAAGTGAACTCTTACTGTTGTATATTATTATAAGAAAAGCTACTCGGAAGTTTAAAAAATATAAATGAGATCAGAGGGGGGAAAAGAAAGCACATTTATTGTATATATTTTTCATGCTGCGTATTATTTTGAAACCCAAGAGCGGAAGTCTCGCGTGCTGCTCCGTAGCAGCACCAGGGCAGAGGGGCGCACGGTACACGGCTCTCCCCGGAACTCTGCAGCCGCAGCGGCTCTGATAATTTCCACATCGGGGGTTCGGTCCAACATGGCGGCTTGCGGATGGAAATACTGATGACAGTCCGAAAGATCGCCTCGATTTGTACGATGGTAAGAGGCCGATATTCGGCTCCAAATGACGGCGTTGGGTGCGTTGCGCCCCGGTCCGGTTGAGCCCGGACAAGCTAAAAGCTAGCGGCTGTGCTAGCTTGTTTGCTAACACCACAGGGCAACATGATAATAATAACACACACAGGTTTTTCCAGAAAGTTGTATCCTGTTAACAGTTAGCCCTCCGGCCGCACGGGGACTCTGCTGTAGTTTGACAACCGCGTGTTATTAAGTGTAAACGAAGCTCCGGTGACACTTCACCAATAGCCATCTTGTAGTTTGTTTACGCGAGAAGGATGACCAACGGTCGAAAACTAGCTAGCATTAGCCTGCTAGCTTAACGGTAGCCCTCTGTGCCTCTTTTGGACCCGGGACAAAAGTTGTGTTTCCCACACACGTGAAACTAAAATAATGTGTGTGTCATTCATTGCAGCGGCTACTTTTTTTTTTTGCAAATAGCTGCTGCTCATAAGAGAGCAGCTGCGGTCGGTATAGTTCAGCCACATCCGGATAACACTGCTGTCATCTGCTTTAATCTGTAACTGGTGGGAGAGAGTCAGCATTTCCTGTCATGGGATGACCCGTGAACGTCTCACCGGGGCCGGTACACAACAAACGTTGTTTTCCCCAAAGTCAGCAACACATTATGTAAAAGTCATTTAAAGCGTCAACTATTCAAACTATTCCCTCATAGATTATCAGGGTTGGATCCCAGTTGCGTCGCTTTTACTTTGAAAGAATCAATCATCAGCACTAATGCTCTAGAAGGCTACAATGACATGCCACTGTATTGATGTTCAGAGGTCAGAGGTCATGGTTGGCCTTGCCCTAAAGGCACCGTCAGCTGGTAGATGTTTGAGAGGTCACCCTCTCTCTGAGAGGTCACGTTACCACGGTCAAGGCGCGCTTGTGTAACCGTTCTTTGATTGAATGGGTCCTGATTAAAATGAAAAGATTCAGTGTTTCCTTGGAGAATGTCCGCGTCCCTTGTTGAATATTGAACGCGCGTCGATCAAAGCGCGGTGTTGTTACTGAAGCCTCAGCACCAAACCGCGTGAGAGCTCGGTCTAGTTGCTCTTCTGGAGCCTTCGCTCATCAGAACTGCGGTGGATTTCAGTTTAAATACTTTCCCCCAGATCCTCCGGGGTGCTGAGTCGTGACTCTTACACACCAGCACGCCATCGGGGACGTCGCCTCGCTTCCCCCGCGGCTCTGTTTACAGTGATGTGATGTCATCACGTGGTGTTGTTGTTGGGTAAATAAGCGCTGGCCCGGCCTCATCCGCCCGGCTCTACACGGACCGCAGTGTGATGATGATGATGATGATGATGAGTAATGACTCAATCCGCCCTGTAGGAAAAGCTGCATCCATCCTCCACCTCTCTGCTGTCTCAATGTGCTGTTTTATTTCTAGATGCAAATGGTGTGATGACAGATGTTGTTATAATAGGGAAAGAGAAGCAGCCCTTTTATGTCTCGTACTTTAAAAAGGGTACTTTGTTGTTTTTCATTTGCTTTTAAACTTAACTATGTGCGTGTGAGATTTCAGTGTTTCTCACAGCGTTAAAAGTCCTTTTTAAAAGTATAAATCTAAAAAACCTTTAGCCTTCCCCTTCATCATCAATTTGAATTGAATTTGCTGAAGTTAAAATTATATATAATTTAATGCAGCTTTAGTTTCAGAAAAAAAACTTTTATATAGCCAAAGCCTCCGATTAAATATTAAATATTGGTTTAATCTGCTCGATATCTATTCATTTATCTCGAGTCACGCTGATACAAACGAAACTATTAATTACTGTAAAAGTCCTGAAATAAGAGTCTCAGACGCTGGACAGCAGGTCAACAACCAGAGGAAGCACGGCGACTAACCAGGCGTTGCCACGGATATATGTGTGTAAAAGAAACGCTTCTTTCGGACTTCCATTCAACCTTCCTCTCCCTTCTCCTCGTCTTCCTCAGGGCGCCAATGCCTCTGCCTTGGAAAAGGAGATTGGACCGGAACAGTTTCCCGTTAACGAACACTACTTCGGACTGGTCAACGTAAGTGACGCTCGGCGCGCCGTTAGCTTCGGCGCTAACACTCCTCTTCGTCTCCCTCACTCCGCCTCTCTTCCTCTTCCAGTTTGGAAACACCTGCTACTGCAACTCGGTGCTGCAGGCGCTCTACTTCTGTCGGCCCTTCAGGGAGAAGGTGTTGGCGTACAAGGTGAGTGATGGGGGCCCGGGGGGGGGGGATCCAGAGATCCAGTCAGATTCATGTTCACAGCTTTAGCTCTTAATAAACTGTTCTTTGGGACTCGTCTGTGCTGACGAGTGCCAGAAAGATGCTCCAGAGAGGAAACTTCTGACTGGCAACAAATCAAACCAAACCCCTTTGATTATGGAATTATTCCTTTTAATGGGAGAGGAATCGTGTCCTCAGTCATAATACCTTCAAAGTCAGATAAAGGGTGTTTTCTATTTTCAAATAGTTTTTGTCAACCAAAAAACACACCAACAATGTGTGTGTGTGTGTGTGTGTGTGTGTGTGTTATATCACTTCTTCAGATAAGATAAAAATTCAAGGTTGGCGCTAACCTGACCCGTACTCCTCAGCTCTACTGCAGAGACGGTTAACAGCCCTCCTCCTCCTCCTCCTCCTCCTCCTCCTCCTCCTCCTCCTCCTCCTCTCTCAGGTGCAGCCGCGGCGGAAGGAGTCCCTCCTCACCTGCTTGTCGGACCTTTTTAACAGCATCGCCACGCAGAAGAAGAAAGTGGGGGTCATCCCCCCCAAGAAGTTCATCTCCCGGCTGAGAAAAGAAAACGGTGAATATTGCCGTGGTGTCTTCAAGGGGGAAAGAAGGCGGGACTTCCTGTGTTGATGTTCTTCTCACCAGCTGAGTCACAGCTGAATGGGGGGGTGGAGGTGGTGGAGGTGGTGGGGGTGAGAAGTCTCACAGCTGAGGAAATGTAAAAGCCTTCAACACATGTTGTTTACTTGCCGTCTCTCCTCCTCATTCACGTCCTTCTCCACAACTCTTGGTCCTCAGAGCTGTTTGACAACTACATGCAGCAGGACGCCCACGAGTTCCTCAACTACCTCCTGAACACCATCGCCGACCTGCTGCAGGAGGAGAAGAGCCAGGAGCGCCAGCAGAACGGGAAGCTGCTGCAGAACGGAGGCGGCGGAGGGGGCGGCCCGGGGGGAGGAAGCGAGGGAGGAGGAGACGGGGAAGGAGGGAAGGAGACGCAGCAGACTTGGGTCCACGAGATCTTCCAGGGAACGCTGACCAACGAGACGCGCTGCCTCAACTGCGAAGCCGTGAGTCGTAATTAGAAGTCTTAAGTTGATTCATTACTTGATCACAGGTCTCGTTGAATGAAGTGAAATAAATACTTAAAAAGCTTTTATTAATACTGAGACAGGAAGCAACCTGAAGCCGTTTCTATGTTAACGGGGTTGTTGTGGAGTTTTTGAGTAACAAAGTGAACTTCAACAAGAAATTGTGTCTCTTTTTGTTGGTTTGCAATTGGTTCTGATCCCCGAGGCAGAGACACCTCCGACCAAACAACCCACGGTTTAATGTTTGAAGATGTAAAGTTTCTTTGGACTTTAACATGGAAGTGAAGAATAAGAATAATGGCAATAAAATACTAGAATTCTAACGGTACATGTTATTCCTTAGACATCGTTAGCGGCTTGTTCTCTCGGCTGAGACGCCGTCCGTTCTGAGAAAGAGTTCTTGTCCCGTCGAAGGAGGTCACCAGTGTGACCTTGAGTGTGTGTGTGCACGTGCGCCGCAGGTGAGCAGTAAAGACGAGGACTTCCTGGACCTCTCCGTGGACGTGGAGCAGAACACCTCCATCACACACTGTCTCAGGTAAGTTCATTGAAGACGCTCCATTCGCACACCAGGGCTCCTGGTGCCACTGTGTGTTCATGTGTGTGTGTGTGTGTGTGTGTGTGCGTGTTCCTAACAGGGGCTTCAGCAACACGGAGACGCTATGCAGTGAATATAAATACTACTGTGAGCAGTGTCGCAGCAAACAGGAAGCCCAGAAGAGGTGAGTTGCTTTTCAGAATAAGTCTATTATTTTTTTGGAGTCGGTTGTTCTGGTTTTATGGAAAATCACAACCATCAATTCACCAATGATGAAAAAAATCACTATGGTTTTATTATTGTAAAATAAATGATTTGACCTAAAAGAATCATTGATTCATTAATATAAAAAGGTTCTATGACGACGGCGTCTCTACACGGCTGTGACAGGGGGGCTCCCTCACACACATATTAGTGCTTCGTCAGTGCTGTCGGGGGGGGGGGGTCAGTAATGGCGTCTCCCCAGAAAGCCACTCAGCGGCTTTCCCTCTGTTCTGTGACCCTCTCGGTCAGGATGAGGGTGAAGAAGCTGCCGATGATCCTCGCCCTCCACCTGAAGCGCTTCAAATACATGGACCAGCTGCACCGCTACACCAAGCTGTCGTACCGCGTGGTCTTCCCCCTGGAGCTCCGCCTCTTCAACACGTCCGGGGACGCCACCAACCCCGACCGGATGTACGACCTGGTGGCCGTCGTGGTTCACTGCGGCAGGTCGGTTCTTACCCTCTACTTTTCCTTTAAAAAGTGTGTGTGTGTGTGTGTTAAACGCTAACGGCGCGCCTCCCTCGTGGCTCCTCCCCTCTGCAGCGGTCCCAACCGAGGACACTACATCACCATCGTGAAGAGCCACGGCTTCTGGCTGCTGTTTGACGACGACATCGTGGAGGTAAATCCAGTCAAATACGCAATCTGCTTTATTCTCTGCTTTACGGTCTGGACTTCATCACGTAACAATGTGGACGTGTCCTCACTCAAGCTTTACTCTTTTCTAAAGCAAAAACAGCCCCAATCGAGACAACAACAACAAACAAATCCTTTAAATTACAGCTGCTCGCTTTAAACACAATTTGGAAAACACAAGTCACATTTAATTTCTTCTTCACTGTTATTACAACTTAAAGTAGATTGCTAAGAAAAGAACCGTTGGCTGACTGAATATTTCCCTAATGATTCCCTCGAGTTCCTTACAAATACCTCCATTATTTTGTTCTCATTCAGAGGAAACGCGCCCCATTTAAAAGTGAAATGTTCCATTTGTGCCTTTTTAGCCGACTATGGTCTCTGTTAACAATCCGTTGTGATTATTTCATTTGAAGTATTTATTCTTTCTAACAGACCAGTAAAATAGAACCTTTTCCAGCAATCTTTAAGTAGATCGCCACAGTTTGAGACGTCTGGTCCAGAGACATCAGAGTTCTGCGAGATTCCGCTGAGTTTGCAAAGCAGAAGAAAAAAAAGTGTTGATTTGTGGAGATTTAACTTTCTGTTCCTTCCTCGCTCTCGTTCGCCCTCTTTCCTTTGTCTGAACTTCCCTCTCACGACACTAACGTGTTGGAGACACGTCGGGGCCGGACCTCCACATCGCCTGCTTCCTGTAAACACACTCGCTCCTGCGTGGAGATTTGCCGGTGGAACAAAAGGGATCCGAAGGAAAAGCCTCCCAAGGTCGAGGGACTGAAGACGCTAAGCTAAAGGAAGCTAATAGTTCTTACGACTAAATCCCCTCGATCGCAGAGATAACCGCCGCGCTTCGCCGGGGAACTCGACACCTGACAAAAATATGAAAGCGATGTCGACTTGTGTTTAAAAAAAAACGTGATGCTATGCTATGCTATGCTATGCTAACCGGCCTCAGGTTCCGGGTACGGACGTCTTGCACCGTCTCTAACGTCCGAACCTTCTGATCTTCTCTTCCGATAGAAAATCGACGCGCAGGCGATCGAGGAGTTCTACGGCCTCACGTCGGACATTTCCAAGAACTCTGAGTCGGGCTACATCCTGTTCTACCAGTCCAGAGACTGAAGCCGCCGGCGGGGAGCCCCCACCAGACTGTCAGGGGCGGGGCGGGGGGGGGGGGCAGCCTCCTGGATTGCGACCTATCGCCCCCCTCCAGAAAGCACCTTAAAAAGAATGGGCGGGGGGGGGGCAACAGCCGAGGCTGTTCTGGGACTTTGCAGAGCAACCGGTCGGCTGACCGAGACGTGGTCGTCACGGTAACCATCACAGTCTTCTTTAGCCCCGCCCCCCCCTTTGTTAAAGAGTCCCGCCCTCCATATTAAAACTTTTTCAGCAAAGTATGAAACAGAAATCCAGAGGTTTTGGCGACGGGTCGGATAGAGGGAGGAAGTTACGGAACAAAAAGCAACCGTACGTAACGTGAGATAAATGTTTTTAATCAGGCTTTCGTGGGGACAAATATTTAGTACCTCCTTACGTTGGCCGTGACGCCACGTAGCGGCGTTGATTTTCCACTTTAGTCGTTTTAACGCACAAACAAACCAAACGTAGTTGTTTTCACCTCTTCGAAGGACGTTCGCGATGCTCCTCCCCACCGGGCTGCCCCGCGTCAACAAGCGAGCGCGCCCTGTCCTTCAGAGGCGTTGGAGTGGTCTTGGTCCAGTGTTCTCTGACTGTTGAAATGTGAAGTGAAAGCGGCTGCTGCTGCTCCGCCTCTCAGGTTCTGGAGGTTGGTTACGTTTGACCGAAGCTGCTCCTTTTCTACCGAGACGACTCTTTTAAACAAATACTTTACCCGGAACAAACGTTACAGAGGCCGGTTTGTAACCAAACTCATGAACTGTCCCCTTTCTTCAAAGCAACGACAGCTAACAGCTAGTCGGCTAACCAGGTAGTTCGCTGTTAGCTGACTAGCGGTTAGCGGTTAGCGGTTTCTGGGCTCAGAGCGGGAGCAGCTTCAGAGGACACTCAGTCAACACTAATGTTTTCCGGGGGTGTTGATCCGCTTCCATCTTTTCTTGAAGTAGTTTGCAGGTTTATAACCGAATCTCCGGACTCCTGTAAACGCTCCCCGATGACGCGCTGATGTTTTAGGTTTTTGACGTGGAGCGTTTTTCGCTTCCCTGTCGTACGAATGACTGCAGACGCGCGTTGCTTCGGGGGGGTCAAAGGTCTCTGGATGGGGGTGTAGCTGCTTCTAATCTGACAATGAGGTGCAGTTTCATGGAAAAGTGTTGAAAAAAAATATTTAAATACTTAAAATATTAACGTTATCTTTTTTTAGACGTCTCACTTGTTTTTGATATAATTCACTGATTTTACTCGTCTGCCATCTTTGGATATTGGGAGATTATTTTGGTTCAGTTGGTCGAGTATGTGATGAGAAATCTCGACGTGTACATAAATACAGATGTTATTATTGGAATATAAATAATTGCTTGCTTTGGAAGTTATGCCTCAAAATACTTTTTATTGTGTTGAAGAATCAATACGCCTGGTGCTCAAAAAGCAACAAGCCCCACCCGCCTGGCGTACAGGGTCACATAAAACAAACACCCCTAAGGCAAATTACCTCATACGTACTCTGTCGCACGTTAGTACACAGAAAAACTGACTGATTCTTTGTGATACATTTAGTCTGAAGAAAACTACTGTGCAGAAGGTGACTGAGCAAACCTGTGTGCTGCTGTTAAAGCAAAGATCCACTTTAAAGTACAGCAGCTTTGTTTTCCTTCTTTGTTCTGTCCCACTTTCAGTAACGCACCCAATGATGTGTAGAAAAGAGTTTAGTTTACTGTTATCATCCGTTGAGTCATCGTGAGTTCCTAACTTACTTTGCTTTTTTTTTTTTACGAAACGTCTTATTTTTGGACAGGAAGAAAATCAAACTACATAAAACCTAAAAATAATGAATATCAACTCAAAAAGCACTTTTACTTTGCACTTAACTCTGGCTCATCGTGTTTCCTGTTGCTTTTGTCCATGTCGTCTTCTGCATGGACGAGACATTCTCCATGAATGTCTCGTGTTATTTTTTAGAACAGAAGCACAAATTATTTGAGATGTTAAAAAGCTGAAGTCTTCAGGTGGATTTTTCCTTCAACAGTCGTAGCCGTTCTGTCCTCTGGAGACGTCCCCTGCGTCCTCCTTCCTTCTCCGACTCACCAGGAATGTAAATGTTTTGAATTGAATGTGTCACTAACGATACTTAACCTTTTTTAAAACGTGTGCAAAGAGACAGCAGCGCGGGCGACCAAGAGAAGACAGGTATTTATATTAAAACGATCAAAAGAGACATTCAGAGAATAAAATTCATAAAGTTTCAATCTGAGTTTGGCGCCTTAATTGTCTTTTTTTTCTGAAAGGTCTTTTATTTTGGTGCTACCCTCAAAAACATTAGTGTGTATGTACACAAATTATAATCTCACACACACACATGTGTAGACATATTACGTGCCCCCCCCCCCACCCCCAAAGAGGCTGCTGTCTGAACTTCTAATAAGAAGTATCTGAAATAAAACAAAGTGGTTTTTGAAATGGAAACATCTGGTCTCTTTTCTTTTATTGAGTTTATTTCCATTTTGAATAAAATGAGATCAACTCAAATATTACATTTCTTGTATAATAAAATGTTGATAAAAAGATACGTTAAGTATTTGAATACTACCCTATATTGTGAAAATGAACTTACAAAAAATTGCGTTAAATTGGTGTATTTAAAAAAATATATATCTTATTTTACTTACGATGATTTTTACATCCTGCAGTAGGATTGAATGGAAGTCGATCCGCTTTTTGTCAGCGGCTTCCTTCTAATTCTAATTGCTCTCCTTTTCGTCGCTGCAGAGCGGAATGCGCTGAGGTTTGCGCGATGCAGCTGTTGAACATCTGGAGGCTTCGGTGATTTATTACAGATTCCAGTCAGCGTTTCCATCGTTTCTGCTGGAATGTGCCTCGTCCTACTGCAGGGGAGGACGGGAGGACGGGAGGACGTGAGCGGACGGGATTGAAGCGTGAGCTACACGCCGTGTGGCCGAAAAAAGGGGGAGATTTGTGGTGATTTATTTAAATGTGTTTCCATGACAACGACGCTCACGTGCCGGTGAAATAAACGCACGGTTCTGCTCTAATGTGTTTGTTTATTTCCCGCTGACATCAGGACTTCTGCTCTGATGTCACAGATCATATTTACAGTTAATGCAGCTCAGGAAGCAAATAAAAGGGTTAAAGTGTTGCATCCCATGCAGCTACACACAGGCAAGGAGTCCTAGACGTACGTCTCAATGATTACTGCAATATTTAATCTCTTTTTCTTGCAACATTTTGTTCCAACGCGAACCACCAAAAAGTCTTTGGCGTGTTTCTTCTTCTTCTTCTTCTCGTGCTGCGTTCCAGAGACACCTGAAGAGTCGTAAATTCCAAACCTCCAGCTGAGTTCCTGCAGCTCCCTCAGAGTCTCGGGGTCCCACGATGTCAACCAGCATCCCCCCCCCCCCCCCCTTCTTTCCTCCCCGTCCGTCACACCATCGTCTCTGAGCTCGACCCCTTCCCGGTGAAGAAGTCCCAGAAGTTGGAGGCCGGTGCCAGTTTGGCGCCCTCCTCGTGGGGGGTCTGCCTCACCCAGACGCCGCTGTCCGTGGACCCGCTCAGCCCCGAGCAGCTACCGAGCCCCCCCCTGGCGGCGGAGGGGCTCGGCTGGGCCAGGCTCAGCAGGTTGTGGTGGGAGTGGAACTGACGCATGTGGCGGATGGATTTACCTGAAGGGGACTCACCTGGAGGAGCAAAAAAAAAAAAAAAAGATGGTGTCAGCAGTTCCTCTGTGGGGAGACTGTTCATCGCTAAATGAATGAAAACTATTCATATGGAACGTTTGTACCTTTTTCAGATTTTAAGATTTCACACTAAAAGCTGTAGAAACAAATAAAAAGACTACGGATCAGTCGTGTTGTTTCGTCTTTTGTTTCTTCTTCCTGTCGTCGTTGCTCAGCCAGAACTCTGTGGCCCCGCCGGCTTGCCGTAGCTCACCGCTAGATGGCGCTGTGGCCACATTTTACCTCCCAGTTCAACGTCCATTTTATTTTGAAGATGCTTTAGTGTACTGAGGGATTATAGCATCATTAAATCTCCCTACATACGTATAAACCCGTGTAGCGTGTGCGTGTAGCGTGTGCGCGTACCGTATCTGGTGTCCTGGCGCTTCCTGTTCTGGTTCAGTTTGAGGACGTTGAGGAAGACCTCGCTGGTCAGGCTGCCCTCGCCGCTGTTGCCGTCGGGCGGGAAAAGCGGCGATGGGAGCTCCAGCGGGGACAAACTCCCACTCGAGGCCCCCACGGAGTCCAGGGAGGCCCCCGTGTCACGCCGGCCCCCCGACTCCCCGCCGGCCTCCGCCGTCACATGACTGCCGCTGGAACGAAGGGATGAAAAACGGTGTGTTGCATCTGAAAGCGGCCCCGGGCCTGCGGCGCCCTGTGGTTGCCACGGTTACCTGAGCTTCCTCCGCAGCAGGTAGTCGATGATGTCCGGGTCCGTCTGGATCAGACTCATCAGGACTTCCTGCTGCAGCTCCGCGGAGACCTGCAGGGAAATGATTTATTGGTTTCAAAACCTGAATCTGATCCAAAAGGAGGCACCAATTTCTCAGTTTTCATTCACGTTCTGTCCTCTTGAGTGTCATGAAATGGTTTAAATGCTCAATAAAGAACTTTGCAAGTCATTAAGAATTAAAGTCGACGTCTCAGCGATATTGATACTCATCGTTTTGTGGGCTGCTACCGTGAAGAGCCGCCTGTGGTTCTGCACCAGCAGCAGGGTCACGCCGATGATGGCCGTGCTGTCCTCGATGCCCATGCCGTCCCCCCCCTCTCCCTCTGCAGCAGGTTGGGCCCGAAGATCACCGCCAGGTTGGCAGCTGTCATCTTGTTCCCGGGAATCTGGAGGAGGAGAGGAGGACGTCCTGTTACCGGGTTTCACCAAAAACATACAAACCCACCTGAAGGAGCACAGAAGGACCCAAAGGAGACCAGCCGGCCCGGAGGAGGCCGAGGCGCCCGGTCCGTCCACCGGGCGGCGCTCTTGGGACTCTACCTCCTCGTCGTTGGTGCCCACGCTGTCCTGGGCGTAGCTCTGCACGGTGTGCAGCAGGTGGAGGAGGCGCAGCAGCGTGTCGCAGTTGCAGGGGGGCAGCAGGTAGAGGAGGTGCTGCAGGTACTGAAGCTGGTCGGCTCCCTTCAGCGCTGCAGGGGGGGGGGCACAGGTGTTACAGCTGTTTCAGTCGCTGCGTCGGTGTGTGTGCGCGCGCTCACAGTTGGCGTGCAGGAAGGCCGGGTAGAGCTCCAGGGGCAGCAGGGGGTCGGGGATCTCCCGGAGGAACTCTTTGAGCAGCGCCGCCACGTCGTGCACGCTGTGCTCCTCGTCCAGCTGCACGTCCACCCCCCTGTCGAAGTCCTCCAGCAGCTGAGAGGACAAATGTGTCCCACATGAAGCAGAGACAGATACACACCACGCGGGGGGGGGGGGGGGGGGGGGTCAGACAGAGAGTCAACACCCCCACCCCCTCCTCCTCTGCCGATGGACATGAATTCTCCAAAACAGGATGTCACACATCAGGTTTTCCCTTGAAGATTATTCTCATGTTCCAATCGGACAGGAAACACGAGGCAGCGATTCGAGGGAAGATTCGCTCTTTCATCTTGTTATTATTACTGGTCACAGTCATAAAACTGAGTCAGAAGTCACATAAAAAACCTTCAGGGGCTTTAATCTTTTATACTAAAGAGGTTATAATAATTTGGCTTCATGTATATTCTCATTATTATAAGGTATTCATACACATATTTACTGTATATACATTTTCTGGCGCTTTTGTTAACTAATTCCAATTGTATGAAGCAGAAAATGTCCTCACCTGTCTCACTCTCTTCTTCGAGCTGCCAACACGGAAAATCCCGACCGTCTGAAGACCTGGGGACACAAAATGGTGCACCGGACAATCTCATCCAGCTTCCTCCAAAAGGAAAACGATACTTCAGCGTGAAGCTTCAAACAAACGCACATAAAACAAACACGTTTAAACTGCTTTGGCTTAAAAGCCTTTGTGGACGCCCAATGGCTCAGTTTAAAAGACATTGTGGACGCCCAATGGCTTGACTTAAAAGACTTTTTGGGAGCCCTATGGCTTGACTTAAAAGACTTTGTGGACGCCCAATGGCTCAGTTTAAAAGACTTTGTGGACGCCCAATGGCTCGACTTAAAAGCCTTTGTGGACGCCCAATGGCTCAGTTTAAAAGACTTTGTGGACGCCCAATAGCTTGACTTAAAAGACTTTTTGGGAGCCCTATGGCTTGACTTAAAAGACTTTATGGACGCCCAATGGCTCAGTTTAAAAGACTTTGTGGACGCCCCATGGCTCAGTTTAAAATACTTTTTGGACGCCCAATGGCTCGGCTTAAAAGACTTTGCGGACGCCCATGGCTCGGCTTAAAAGACTTTGTGGACGCCCAATGGCTCGACTTAAAAGACTTTGAGGACGCCCAATGGCTCGGGTTAAAAGACTTTGCGGTCTCACCGTGGGTCTCGATGTGACTGCAACACCTCTCCAGCACCTGGGGCACCTGCTTGTAGATGGGGTTGAGGCTCAGCTTGGTCTGGGTCCGCCCCTCCGACGCGCCTCCGCCTCCTCCGCCCGGCGACTTCATCAGCTCCAGCTCGGCCGGGTGAGAGAGCTGCAGCGCCTCCAGCAGGCGAGACTGACTCTCCACCAGGTCGGAGATGGAGTCCACGGACAGCCCGCCCTGCGAGAGAGACAGGGTCCTTTACTGTGAAGGTAGGACCTTTATTTTGAAAAGGCTTTCTGAGCAAATTATCTAGTAAAATAAACGATCAAGGGAAGAAAAGCTCCAAACAACGAAAACAGCGGTTAAATATCTGAGCTGTTGTTTCTGGAGGAACATCAAGCGTCAGAAGAATCTCCAACTGCAGCTTAATCCAGAAGATCTCAAGTAGCTGCAGAGTTCAGGAGTTATTGGGACATTAATTCAAGCGGAGCTTCAAGGACCCAGCGTTGTACAAAGTACCTATTCACTCTGTCTCAATGTGGTACTGACGTGTTTCCTGAGGTAGAAGTACCCGTTATCGTCAGTTGAAAACAACATGGCTTTTGTTCTCTTTTAAAGGGAAATAATTCATTCATTCAACATATTCACATAATAAATCCACAGAGATTTAACAGGACGGGACGTCCGTCTCGCGTCCAGAGGGACGCTGCTGCAGCGGAAACCTCCCGGTGGCTCTAAGCATCTGGCTGCAGACGTTAAGTTCAACCTTTACTCTCTCGGTGTGAACGTCTCTGACAGGAGGAAGACCTCCGTGTGTGTGTCTGTGTCTGTGTGTGTGTGTGTGTGTGCGTGTTGTCAGATATGTAAACAGCGAGCTGCTGCCGTCCACCCGGCTCTAAACCGATGAGTCACAGTCCCATTAAGTTGGAGACGGATGAGAAATCGTCTTTCAGCTGCTGCGTGAGACTGCAGGGAAATATGTATTAATACAAATATTTACACTGAGAGCACGCTGTCGTTGTAAGCGTCTAAAATGCTGGTGTGTAGCTACAGATTCCCGATTATTAATATAAAATATAATAGTCTGATACATTACAGTTTATTTAGGTTAGATACTTCATTTAAGTAAACTTTAAGGATGTGGTATGATAGTAGTACTTTAAGTATATTTATTATGGTGGGTTTGAGTACTTCTACAGTTTAATACAACATAAATAAATCGGTGGCACAATTGTTAACTATTTATGTTGGGAAATGAATAATGAAGATAAAAGCTCTTAAGGAGCCACGTTGTTGCTTCCTGCCCCGTGAGCAGCGTTTACTTCACATGGTCCCAGAACCCCTTCCCCCTCCCCCTCCTCCGTCCTCCCCCTCCCCTCCCCCCCTCCCCCTCCTCCGTCCTCCCCCTCCCCCGTCCCCCCGGTTTAACCCGTTCACGCACGCGTTGACCGGTTGAGGCGGTGACCTGACCCCCCCTGGAGGTCACGAAGCCCCTCCCCACCCTCCCAGCCTCACCCTCCTCTGTCCTCGCCCCGCGTTGTCCGGGAACGACAGCGGCTTGACCGCCGCCTCCGAAAGCGGCGCCGGCGCCACGGAGTTGGCGTGCGGCGAGCCGGGCCCCCCGCCGGCCGCGGAGGAGGAGGAGGAGGAGCCGACCGGCGGCCGGTTCCCGTTGAAGAACTGCCTCTTCTCGGCCCGGAAGAGCAGCACGCTGGCCTCCAGGTCCAGGCAGTCCCGCCGGCTCTCCTTCAGGGCGTCCTGCCGCAGCTTGTGAGCGCGGTCGTTGGCGATGACCTGCGAGAGCGGGATGCCGAACGCCTTGGGGGCCGATTCTGATTGGACGGGAGAAGGAAAGAGAGGGAAGGGTCAGAGGTGCTGGTGACCCGGAGGAGAAGTTAAAAGGATTCAACGCCACCGCGCGTCCGATATAAACCTCCATCGTCGGCAACTCGCCGCTGTGCTTCAACCCGACGGCTCGACAGAGGACGAGCGGTCGTCTCTCGGCGTGTAGATTTCGTCCTCATTTGATTTGATCCGATGCGAACACGACGTTGTCACATTTTGTGTTGCTAAAGTCTCAATGTGGCTCGATTCGACCGTCCAGACGTCAGCTGTTAATCCCACTTAGACGGATTATTCAGCATCTCTTGAACATCACGTCTGGTTGGAGAGAAACGCAAACCTGAGCGGACGTCCAGCGGCTTTAAAAAGGGGCCGAGAGTGAGCCCTTCTCCACCGGAGGATAAACAGTCTTTTCGGGGAGTCTCTCCCGGTCAGCTGCTCGCCGATAAAGCTGCAGAGCTCTGCTGGGTCACGTGACCGGCCGGGTTACCTGCACGCTGTCCAAGTAGGTGAGCTGAGCGGCGCTCGGATTAACAGAGTTGATTCTTCACGAGGACTTCATGCCCCACCCGGTGTAACCGACCCCCCCCCCCCTCGCTGTGACGGTGGAACGCCGGCGTCCGGGGCCTCCCAGAGGGCCGAAGCCTGCACGTCGTCTGGGATTAGGCTCATTACATCAACAGTTTTCTGTACGCATCAACAACACGTGCAACATGCAACCCGGCCGGGTCGGAGGCGAAGCAAACACAGCAGAACAGATGTGTGTGTGTGTGTGTGTGTGTGTGTGTGTGTGTGTGTGTGTGTCCCTGGAGGCTCTTTGTTCCTCGCTGCTTTCGGTCTCTAGTGCTTCTGGTCCGGAGGTCATTGTCTGTTCCTGGAAGAATGAGGCATGCGATGTATCTAGAGAGGCGTTGGGCGCCATCGCGTCGGCCCTCGTTTTTATTGTTCAACACGGGACGTCCTCCGAGTAAGCCGAACGCGCGCGCGCGTCGACGCCGCAGCAACACGTCGTCAAACGCGCGTCTGAGGCGAAACGTTTGAGGGGAACAAGTGAAGAGAAACACGCGAATGTATAAACACAAGCGTGTCTTTGAGATGACGCCGGTTAAAAAAACGTCACCTGAAAACGTGATTCGTCAGCATTTCCCTCTCAGTGACTCCAGTGCAATCTGCCCCGAGGGCCACGGGGGTCACGACCCCCGAGGGCCCCGGGGGTCGTGACCCCCCCCTGGCGTTGCAGCGGCAGAATCTGCGGGAGCGCCGCCAGGGCCCGATTCAGATAAGTCCCCTGTGTCAGAGCCTGGAGGCGGGATTTAGAGACCTGCGCAGAGTGTGTGTGTGCGTGTGTGTGTGTGCGTGTGTGTGTGTGTGTGTGTGTGTGTGTGTGTGTGTGTGTGTTCTGGCTCGTGCAATAATCACCTGAGAGCAGAGAACATCTCTCTATGAGAGGTTTTGGGGTCACATTGGGGCTTAGTGGAGAGAGGAGGAGGAGGAGGAGGAGGACAAGGTGGATGAGGAGGAGAAAGTGGAAGAGGAGGAGGAAGAGGAGGAGGAGGAGGAGAAGGAGGAGGAGGAAGACGAGGAGGAGGAGAAAGTGAAAGTGGAAGAGGAGGAGAAAGTGGAAGAGGAGGAGGAGAAGGAGGATGAGGAGGAGGAGAAAGTGGAAGAGGAGGAGAAAGTGGAGGAGGAGGAGGAGAAGGAGGAGGAGGAAGACGAGGAGGAGGAGAAAGTGAAAGTGGAAGAGGAGGAGGAAGAGGAGGAGGAGGAAGAGGAGGAGAAAGTGGAAGAGGAGGAGGAGAAAGTGGAGGAGGAGGAGGAGAAGGAGGAGGAGGAAGACGAGGAGGAGGAGAAAGTGAAAGTGGAAGAGGAGGAGGAAGAGGAGGAAGAGGAGAAAGTGGAAGAGGAGGAGGAAGAGGAGGAGAAAGTGAAAGTGGAAGAGGAGGAGGAAGAGGAGGAAGAGGAGAAAGTGGAAGAGGAGGAGGAAGAGGAGGAGAAAGTGGAAGAGGAGGAGGAGAAGGAGGACGAGGACGAGGACGAGGAGGAGGAGGAGGAGGAGGAGGAGGAGGAGGAGAAAGTGAAAGTGGAACAGGAGGAGAAAGTGGAAGAGGACGAGGAAGAGGAGCAGGAGAAGGAGGAGGAGGAGGAGGAGGAGGAGGAGCGTCTGAAACGTTTGTTAAAATGTTTCCTTTGTGAGAAAGAGATTAAAACCTCTGATTAGTGATGATGAAGAAGAGTTTTTATAAACTGTTTCCAGCCTGCGAGGAGACGCTCGGCGCTGAGAGGGCCGCCTGTGGTGTTTACAGTGGCCTGTGTGTGTGTGTGTGTGTGTGTGTGTGTGTGTGTGTGTGTGTGTAGTGGGGGGGGGGGTTGGGGGGGAGGGGCTTCGGGGAAACCAGCCGTCGAGGGAGACGAGTGTGAAGTGAAGCGAACTCACCTCGCTCTTTCTTTTCCTTGGAGAAGGAGTCAAACTTCCTGCGGAGGGACTTTCGCCGCTTGTGTATTTCTGTGAGAAGCAGAAGAGCAGAGCGGTTGCGGCCGTGTGAGCGGCGAGGAAGGCGCGGCCTTCATGGACGCACATGCGCGTTTCCACGACGACGGCAACACAAACAACACAAATTCATTCGTCTTTCGTCGGCCTTAAAAATAACTCCATGCGGCCTCTCATCGCTTCTTCCCCTCGAGTGCAAACGCCGGCCTCCATGTGGCCTCCCCCTCTCCCCCCTCTCTTCCTTCCTCCCCCCCCTTCCTCCCTCCCCTGCTCCTCCTGTATTACAATGCAGAACGTTGCGTGATGCATAACTCAATTATTACATTATTACATTCTCGTTGGGTGCGCTTGTTTTCTGTACGGCTTCTCCTCGTGTGTTTACACGGTGGGAGGTTTTCCGTTTTACAACCTCCTCCTCCTCCTCCTCCTCCTCCTCTGGGTGCTCGCCGTTGTTTGGGTTTCTCAAACCGATGTTTGGAACCCACTAAATCCCCGTCGGGGTCTTCTTCCCTTTTAGGGCCCGGCTGGAGGCCCCTGCATCACAAACCACAACGCTTTGCTTCCATTCCCTCCAGATCAGAAGAACAAGGAAGCTAAAACAGTAAGTGGAAAAAGTAGAGAAAGCATGTGTGTGTCTGTGTGTGTGTGTGTGTGTGTGTGTGTGTGTGTGTGTGCGGGGGTCAAATTCCCATGACTGCAGGAAATTAAAGTTTATTTCCAAAGCACACGCCCCCCCCCCCCCCCCCTTTGCACACACGCCACCTCCAGCGCGGGCTAACCCCCGTAGCATGTTTGCGTGTGTGTGCGACACATGTACGCACTCGCGTTGTGTTGAGTGCACGACGCACGTCAGCGCGTCGCACGTGGAGACTTTCCTGCAGGTTACCGGTCGATTTATGGATCAATAAAGCTTTTTTTTTCCCATGAATCTCGGCGTGTAATTGAACTCCGGCCGGATGGGAAAAGGGTTCATTCATCCCTAAGATGTGAAACAAAACTCAAAGTGAAGATGGTAAAATAGGAACATTTCCCGAAAGTGAGGAGGGAGGGACGAGCGGAGCCTCACGGGACGTCCCAGGACTTCATTCACGTCCCCCAAATGTGGCGGCGTGACGGCAGCGAGCGTCCGCCGGCTCAACGCGCCGATGACGCACGAGACGTGAGGCCAAAAGTGTTTCTTTCAAGCATCGGGAGGCGTTTCTCGTCATCGAGTTAATGATCTATGATTAGATGAGGAAGCCAGAATCAGTGAATCACGGCACACGCTGGTTGACTTTGTTAAGAGGCCTGTTGTTGTTCATCCACCCAAGTTGTGTTGCGACGGCGCGTCGTGGCCTCTGTGTTCATTATTGTCCCATTTATCCTTTTTAGCCTTAATTCGAGCCAAACCGTCAATGATTCCATTAAAAGCAGCAGTGGCGGAGAGAGGAAAGGCGTGGACGTGTCTCCTGCTGCTATCGCAGGGTGGAAGCCACTGGGAGCTTTTCTCCTCCTGTCTCCTCAGGGCCGTCCCGTGGATTCAGCCAACCGATGCGAACGTCTTCAGCGGCTCAGGTCGGAGAAAGAGGCCGCAGATCGTCTGTGTGTCTTCAAGCAAAGAGCCTTTGTGGAGACCTCCTGGTCTGGAACAAGAACATCGGCCCCCTTTTTTCCTGGTTGCTGCTTTATAATAAATGCGGAGCGGGGATCCTGAGATACTTTAAGGCTCCTGCAGCCAAAGCCGTGTCCGTCCGGACCGTCACGGCTCCCTGGAGGCCGGTTAAGCATCTGCAGCTTTGACCGCGTCCTTCTCCAACCGCCGGAGGCCGGAACCCGTCTCCAAGAACGCTTGAGGACCGGCCGGAAGCACATGCGTCCTCTGACAGAGCGGCATTCACGGGCAATGTGAAGGTGCATCAACACGAGTCCGCGCGGTTCTGAGGGAACCCGTTCGGAACCAAAAACATTCTGTAATGTTCAAAAAGTGAATTCCTGCACTTTTTGATAATCGTCACCGACGTGCGAAGAAAACTCCCAAAACTCAAAGAATAAGTTCAAGCATTTGGGAGGAATGTTAATTAGGGTTAAATGAGATGGTAGCTGGTTAGCTTAGCATATAAGCTATGAATAAATAAACAATGATGCTGAAACTCATCCGGCTCATGAACCTGTGAAACCGCCGACTCGGGTTTTTCATTGTTTTCGTGAGATCAGTCGGTTCCAAACGTTGTTCAAACAGACACAGGCCAGATGTTTCCCTCTGCTTTGAGTCTTTATGCTAAGCTAATCCCCCCACCGTCGCTAACATCGTAAAAAAACAACAACAAAGCCTTCTGAAGCGGAGAACGGGAGACATTTCGTGGTACCTCTCGGGATGCTGATCTTGAAGTCCAGGTCTCGCTCCTCCAGGTGGTACAGCGCCACCTCCTGCAGGCGGGCTCGCTCCAGCTCCGACAGGCTCTGGATCGGCACCGGCTGCAGCCGCACGCTCTGACCCAACATGGTCGCCCACGCGTGGCCGCCCTGCGGCGAGGAGAGAGAGAGAGAGAGAGAGAGAGAGAGAGGCGACTGTCAACGCGTCCGAGCCGCCGTCACGTTCCCCCGCGGAGAACTTCTACATTCACACGTCAGATTTACTCCTTCACCTTTTCCTTCCTTCATTTGGTTTATCGCCTCCCTCCTCCCCCCCTCCGTCCCTTACTTCCTTACTCCCTTCCCTTTTACTTCCTCCCTCCCTCTTCCCTCGTCTTTTTCTTCTTCTTCCCTTTTCCATTCCCTCCCTCTCTTCCTTCACCCTTTACTTCCTTCCCCTCACCCGTCACCATCTCCTTTCCTTCCTTCCTTCCTCCCTTCCTTGACTTGACTTCCTTTCTTGACCTTCAAAGCGGAACGACTTCCCCGCTGTGACCTTCGGTGGCGGCCCGTGCGGGAATGGAACCCTCGGCCCCCCGGCGGTGTTAAATCGCGCTTGGAGACCGAAGGGGAGGCCTGGCGGCGAGGACGTCGCCATGGGAACGCCGGGGCCACGTTTACGATCCGTCACAGGTGTGCATTTTTTACGTCAAGCGAAATGAAACGAGAGGAAACCAAGGAAGCGCGTTTTGCTCCTTCGTCTTCTTCGTTTTTGTGGTAAAAAACATGTCTGGAGCACATTGGGCAGGTCACGCAAAAGCCGTCGGCCAGAATCACGTATTAATCAGTGTGTGTGTGTGTGTGAGTGTGTGTGTGTGTGTGTGTGTGCGTGTGTGTGTGTGTGTGTGTGTGTGTGTGTGTGCGCCTCTCGACCGACAAAGCGATAAAGGGAAAGAAATGCGCCCTGATGGCTGACAGATGCTTCACTTTGGGGTTTGTTTTTTTTCACCTTCCTCCCTGGTAAACATCACGCACTTCCCTGTTTTTGAATTCATTTTTTTGTTCCTACTTCTTCTTCTGTGGTTCGTGATGAGCGCGTCGCTCCCGCGGGTGCTCCGGTCCGCCCGCGTCAGCGACCTCTCGTTAGCATCGGGCTACGTAGCTCGCCGGTACGAGTGTAGGAGAAACAATGTTTTTAAAAACTTCTCTTCAAGTTTACTTGGATATATTTGGATGAATGTGTGATTTGATCCTCACTTCAAACTCACAAGGACAGTTTTAATACGGACGGAGAGGCCTGAGCGGGGATTTTGCCGTCGCCATCTTGGATTTATTTGCGATAAATGTGTCGGGACGCCGTGTGTCTCTAGATAGAGACCTGTCAATCACATTTAGCCCCGCCCTATGAAGACTAGAAGCTAGAGACTGAGACCATGAACATGTTTACAATGTTTAACTCTTATTTATTTATTTACTGTCGATGCGTTGAATGAGATACTTTTCTACATGTGAAGCCCACGGAAGCGTGTGCGTAGCGTGTTCTTCCACCACAGGAGCCTGAAGGTCTGAAGGTGTAATAACTTATTTTATTCCTCGTTTCAGCTTTTCGCTCACATTAAAATCGTGTTTCTAACGAAGGAGCATCGTGTCGTTCGTGGTCGGAGGATTCAGGAGCTTCTCTCACCGGGAGGCTCAGAGAGACACAACGTCACCGCCGGAGCATTAGTGCGCAAAAGGTGCGCACACACACACACACACACACTCACAGACACACACCACGAATACACACGCAGACGGGAGGCGCTAATTGGCCCTTTGGCGTCGCTGAAGACTTAAAGACACAGGTCTTCTGTTGACACAGCAGTCCATGACCGCCGTGTTACACACACTAACAGACGCACAAACACACACACACACACACACAGTTTTCAGGGATCAGACTCTCTGCCGTCTGGAATCAGGAGACAGGAGGATTGTGTGTGTGTGTGTGTGTGTGTGTGTGTGATGCATTTCAATGTAATCTGCTTAATGAAAACATTTAAGAAAATGTGACTGATTCGTCAAACTTGCATTAGTTGTTTTATTTTAAAGATTTATCAAAAGCTTGACGTCATTTCGGGGAATTCTTTACTATATGAACTCAGTTTTAGGTGTTTAGATTTTATAACTTCAAAAATGTCACAAATTTTGGACTCAAAAACATCCACAAAAGGCTTTGAATTAAAGGAGATGGTGTCATATGTCACATGTAACTAAAGCGTTGGCTGCTGTACAGTCTCTCTCACGGACGCACACACAGACACACACACACACACACACACTCACACACACACACACACACACGTACCTTTGTCCGGGTGTCACTTTGCCTCAATTAAAATCCCCCTGATCGCTCCCTGCAGATCCCTGAGACTCGTTTTTCCGGACTTCGCTCAGACCCTCGAATGCATCTCGGAGCTGTGAGCCGGACGAGAGGACCAGCGGCTCTGAGTCAAAGCAGCGAGCGAGGGAGGGAGTTAGAGCGAGGGAGGGATGGGGGGGTTAGATTAGGTGAGGAGGAGGAGGAGGAGGAGGAGGAGGAGCAGCGCATTGACTTGACTCCCAGGAGCTGAGAACATCAACACAGGCGAGAGGGAAGGAGAAAGGAGGGAGGATGAGGAAGGGAGAGCAAGAGGAGGTGAGGAGCGGGAGAATGCATTAAGGAGGGAGGTGAGGAGGTGAGGACGGACCTTGAGGAGGGAGAAAGGGGAGACAGGGGGAGAGAAAGGAAGAGGTGAAGGCAGAAGGCCACGAGGAAACAAGGAGGCAAGGAACATGAGGGAGAAATGAGCAGAAAGCTGTTGGGAAAGATAAAGGGATAACGAAGGAGATGAAGAGGGATAGAGCCAAGGAAAGGGGGTAAGGAGGGGAGGGAAGGAAGCTTGAAAAGGAAGGGCGGAAGGGAGGGAGGGAGACATGAGGAGACAAAGAAATGTAAAGAAAAGTAAAACAATGAGGGAATAGAGAGTGAAGGAAAGAAGGGAAGAAAAAGACTGAGAAGTTCGGAGAGAGGAAATGAGGGAGGAGAGAATGGAGGGAGGGAGGGAGAGAAAGGAGGGAGGGAGGGAGGGAGGGAGGGAGGGAGGATTAAAACAACAGGATAAAAGCTCTATAAAAAGGACAGACGGAAGGGTTCAGAGGAGACAAGGAAACACATGAAGAGGGAGACGAAGATGTTTCATTGGAGAGAAGAAGGAGGAGGAGCAGGAGGAGGAGCAGGAGGATGAGCAGGAGAAGGAGAAGGAGCAGGAGCAGGAGCAGGAGAAGGAGCAGGAGCAGGAGCAGGAGCAGGAGAAGGAGAAGGAGCAGGAGAAGGAGCAGGAGCAGGAGAAGGAGCAGGAGAAGGAGCAGGAGCAGGAGGAGGAGAAGGAGCAGAAGCAGGATAATGAGCAGGAGCAGGAGCAGGAGAAGGAGCAGGAGGAGGAGCAGGAGAAGGAGCAGGAGAATGAGCAGGAGCAGGAGAAGGAGCAGGAGCAGGAGAAGGAGCAGGAGGAGCAGTTAGCTACTAGAAAGGCAAAGCGTCCGTTCCTCACCTCCCGTCTCATCGTCAGCCTGATTAATCCAGGAGGGAATTTAGTGGTCAAACCAAAAGGAGCAGCTGAGGACATCCAGCAGCTTCTGCTGCCACGGCAACCAGGAGACAAGACGAGTGCGGTTGTGTTTGTGTTTATGCACAAGACACGACAACGCGTGTGAATCACAATCGTTTCCTCGCACTGGCCCTTCTGTCCCGGCTGCATCACCAGGTGATGGAGGTGACCCCTGCCGACCCCCACGACATGCGGCTGTCACAGAGAGACACGCAAAGACACACAGGCAGAAACACACAGGCTTACAAAAGAGGCCCCAGAATGATGAATAAAAGCACACAAGGACACACAAAGACACACAAAAGGACTGACGAGCACTTCCTCCCCCCCACAATGAGCAGCAGGTACAAATGTGCTTATTACAGTAGAAACGACCTTTGACCCCCACGGTGGTCCATGTCTCTGCGCGTGTTTGCGTGTGTGTGTGTGTGTGTGTGTGTGCGCGTGTGTGTGCGCTCGGCTTCCATCATCTCTGATCCTCCTCACTTCCTGTGACGCCGTCATACATTTCCAGGTCAAAAGGTCACGGGCGACTTCACGGGGCCGTGTGTGCTGACTCCACTTAAAAAACAGGAAGGACCCATCGCACACACACACAGACACACACACACACACACACACACACACACAGACAGTGTTGATACTGGACGTCCACGTCGGGACAGCGCCACCTACAGGCCACATGTACACACGCAGGAAACTATTGTACTTGACGAACAGGTCGGACGGGACGACACGTAACGCGTCCTCGGGGAATCGAATCAGACACGGAAGACGGATGAACAGCGGGACAGAACGGCCGTTGTTTGCGGCAACACGCGTCCCGCTGACTGATCATTTATTTGCGTAATAAAACGAGACGCGAGGCTCAAAGTGCGCGTTCCGTATCTGATTTGCTGTAAGTCATTTATCCCCCGGGGACGGCGTCCCCCTCCCCTGCAGGAGGACAGCGAGTCCGTCCCGGCAGTCGGGAGCATGAAGACATTTCCGCCCTTCGCGGTTTATTCTCCATTTGTTCCGGTCGACATTAAGTGAATATAAAGGACGTGTTTCCGGTCCGTGTTCCTGCAAAGGACGACGTTTTACTTCAATTTACCGTTGACGCAATATTTCTATATCATTTTCTATTTTATATCATATTAATACTTAATACTTTCGCACAAGAAGGAGCTTCGCTCTCTCTCTTCATTTTTTTCGCCCCGGAGGATTTTGGTAAAAGGAGAAACGGAAATACCATCAGAGAGGAAACGAGATTATTTCTGTCTCTCTCCCTCACACCCATCATCATCATCATCATCATCATCATCCTCATCATCATCCTCATCATCATCACTGTCTGAGAACTTCCACTCTAACCCTAAAAAAACGCTCTTATTTTATACCTTCAATGCCGCCACCGAAGCCGGGGTGTCAAACATAAGGCCCGCGGGCCGTCACATGACGTCTCTCCTCTGTGGAGCTTCCTCACCATCGACCCAGGTTGTTCTTCAGACAGACGTCCTCAGAAGGTCTCAGATGTGTCTGTCTGTTGCTTTTTTCCCCCCAAATTCCTTCCATTTACTTTCCCCTGTTTCTCCTTTTTTCCGACGCGAAAGATCCAAAGACAGAAGATGTTGCACGTCGTGCAGGTTGGAAAGTCCTCTGAGGTCCATTTGTGCTTTGGGGTTGTAAATGAATCGAGTTTACTGGCGCCAGCCTCAGAAGGCCGAACGATGCAGATGATTCGTCACGAAGGCGAAAACGCCGCCTTTAATAAAAGGGAGATTTCCAAAGGCAGATTAATACACGAGGCCTGGCCGAGTAAGTCGAGAGGATTGAGAGAAATTCTGTCTCACGTCACACGACGTCATTCGACCTCTCCTCTCCAGAGTTACACGACGAACCGCTCAGAGGGGCGAGAA